ACATACATATATGTTTAGTTTTAAGAAAATTTATTGTACAAAATAGTTCATGGTTTAAAATTAATAATACATTTTAGTAGAAAAAAAATTAAAATTTTTATGAACTTGGGGAAAGTGTAATCAGTGAAGGAGGAAGGGGAGGATTGATTGGGGACAATTTCTTCCTGACCCGCAGTTCTCAGGAGAGCTCGGTGCTTCGCAGTTTTTTTTCTCCATCAATTCACTACAATCACCTCCGACCCCCCGTTTTCTCTTTACAGCCCTGGATGTAAAATCAAAAATTTCCATATACTCGATATCTAAAGAAATTTTGTCGTGTTACGATGCATAGGTTAAGATACGAAATCTGCCATGGATCTCAGTTTTCGAATAACTTTATAAAATCTTTTTTATATAAGTTAACCGCCGAGTATATACCTTATTAAAACTTTTATTCAATTGCGTGGAAGCGGCTTCAATCCTGAAACAACACTTTTGAACATTGTCATATATTCTGAACCTATATATCATATATATAATTTTATTTGTATATATATTGAATGTTAATCGATTTCGAAATGATAATCAATATAATCGAATTCGGACTCGAGTTTTTAGCATCTCTAATGATTATTTAAATGTTCTTCTATGTTGTAGCGATAAAAAAAAATCGATTATAACACATATGGGTATGTAAATAAGAGAATGAGAAAATAGAAATGCAAAAACATAAACTGTAAAGGCAGCTAGCTTAGAAAATTATATATTATTCGTGATTGTATCTTCTATATATATAACAACGTACACTGATTGTCAAAGTACCGAGCAATATATTTACAAGTGATTAATTTGCAAAGCTGCTAAATAATACACTCATATACCTTTTACAAATTATATACATACATCAAATAAGTACAACACACACTGAGGCGACGATTTCGTTCGAGAATCCGACACTGCTATCTTACTATCTACAATTGAACTTATTTCTATTATTCTAACGAGTTGAAATCCATGACTACTAGCATTTTTCCGACAAACATTGTTCGCGAAACATAGTACTGAGTTGTGAAATTAACCCATTAAAGGCATATAGTAGTTTCTTGAAATTCATAAGCCAATATACATATTTTGCTAATCAATCTGTATTGACGGTACAAACTAGTCTACGCATATTCATTTATATTGTTAAGTTCGGAATAAAAGCCAAAATTTTTAGTGGTTGGTAGTAGATGCAAGAAACTATTTATAAATAGCAAAACGATCTTTGCCTTTGGTATTGCATTAAATAAAATATACAAAAAAACAAAACAGGAAAGAAAATAATTGATGTCAACGTCATTCATGTGTAAAGATTTGCTTAAAGGAGATTAGAAAAATGACATTGGTTACGTCGAGTTTGGAACAGCCGCAGTCACAGTGTGACAAGTACATATTAGACCAAAAATCTATGGACGTAGAGGTGAGTGAGGAAATGATAGGTTTTAAGGGACATTCGTGCGATATCAAAAAAAAATATAAATAGAATAAAGAACGAAACTATTATGATCGGTGAGATCATAGCTTGTCAGTAAACCTAATGGCGTATTTGTTTGAAGTGCATGGGATTGTATAAGTGGAAATATGATGTCGGATTTTTATATCGTTATGCAAATTATCGTACATTGAGCCTTAATTTGTCAAATAATTTTTTAGCAAAAAATTATTTAGTACAAAACATGTAATTGAGGAAAAGATAAGCCGAGTATAAAAATGTTATAATATATAGTTGCTTAGCAATTTTGGCTAGGTCCATGAAATTATTCAGTTTTGTACTTGCATATCTATAAAAAAATTATATTGCAAAAAAACTAATTTTTTATTTATTTTTTTAGGAGCGTAAATCCTGTAACTTCTGGCTTTTTAAATTATTATTTAATTGGACTTCTAGTTCTTCCACAATGTTACGGGCTGTAGAAAAAAAGATATTATCCTTCCTTAAGACGCCATATCGTGGTTTCTTTGTAGATATTGGACCCGCAATTGGTGAAGCAGATAAAATATGGACAATCAGCTTAAACACGGAATCTAAAGAGGTTCCTTTGGTTTTGCTACATGGCCTGGGTGCAGGTGTTGCTATGTGGGTAATGAATTTAGATTCCATTGCCAAAGATCGTCCTGTATACGCTATGGATGTATTGGGCTTTGGTCGCAGTTCACGACCGGGTTTTTCTAATGATGCACTTATTTGTGAAAAACAGTTTGTCAAGTCAGTAGAAGAGTGGAGACGTGAAATGAATATTAATAGAATGGTATTATTAGGCCATTCAATGGGAGGTTTCATCGCTTCTAGTTATGCATTGTCATATCCCGAGAGAGTCCATCATCTTATATTAGCTGATCCATGGGGATTTCCAGAAAAGCCATCAGATGTAAATAACAACCGTCAAATTCCTTTATGGGTGCGCGCTATAGCATATGCTCTAACACCTCTCAATCCTCTATGGGCGTTACGTGCTGCTGGGCCACTTGGCCAATGGGTTGTAGAAAAAACTCGGCCGGATATTACGCGCAAGTTTGCGGCCGCAGTGGAAGAAGACAATAACCTATTACCACAATATATTCATCAATGTAATGCACAAACCCCTTCAGGTGAATCGGCTTTCCACAGAATGATGGCTTCGTTTGGATGGGCGAAATATCCGATGATACATCGAATTAAAAACGTTCGAGCGGACATTCCTATAACATTCATTTATGGTTCGCGTTCATGGATAGATTCGTCTTCAGGAGAAAAAATAAAAGCACAACGAGTCGATTCAAAAGTGGATATTAAAATAGTAACCGGTGCGGGACATCACGTGTATGCGGACAAACCGGAAGTTTTTAATCGTTACGTTAACGAAACCTGTGAACTATATAAAGCGTATCAAAAAGAAGCGGCTATACGGGACGGAACAGAATCAGATGATGAACTGAGCAATACAGCATTACAAGCTGAAGCACAAAAATCGCAACAATCAGAGTTCCAAAAAGAAGAAAATCTTGAAACAAATAAAAACTTGCCCGAAGATCCCCAAACAAATGAAGTTGCGTCAAATCTTAAACAACAATAATATTCTTATATTGATTGAGAATGATCACACACTTACTACCTGCAATCAGTTTTAATTTTTTAGTCGATATGTATTAGTCAATATATAACACATAGTATTAGCCTAAATATTGTAATGAAAATATTAAATGTGCTCATCCTAAAACTGTTATTACAGTTCTACTTTACAAGTTTTCTGATTAAACTCACCAATAATAGTAAAAGTATTGAAATGTACAAAGAATATAAAACAATGTGTTTCTAGTAAAATGTGTTTCTTAAAAAAAAATTGGCAAAATTCTTGTAGAATAATACAGGCATAGGCGTACATGCATTTAACATAGTGGGATTGTATGGCTCTTATCACTGGGCACTGCAGGCTCAAGAAGCACCTATCAAACATGGGCTTAGCTTCTTGTGGCAACTGCCGATTCTGCGACATGGGACCGGAAACACCAGAACACCTAATCCTAGATTGCACCGCAATTTGTAGACGCAGGTTCAAGGCCCTCGGTTCCATTTTTGTGACCAGGGATCACATTGCCTCAATAGCACCCAGCAAGTATCTGGAGTTTTTCAGGGTGCTGGGACTTTGGGAATGCATGTGATGGAGGAGAGGGCACAATAGACCCTAGGTCGCAGTGCATACCTCATTTTCAAATCTAATCTAATCTAATGGCTCTTATCGGTAAAATTATTTATAAAACAAGAAAAAAAGGTTAACTTCGGTCGCACCGAAACTATAATACCCTTCTTGTTGACTCCTCACATAGCCGCGATAACAGTCAAAGTACCGGCCCGACCAGAGAAACGTTGTTGGCAATATACAGGGTAATCGGTCGGTCGGTCTTAAACTATGCCGCACCGATATGCAACGCAGACGAAGAAGCTGCAGACATGTCAAAACACTGCACTCCAAACTATCGCGGGATGCTTCTTGATTTCTCCGGTCGAACACCTACACAGCGAGGCCCGTATGCTTCCGGTTAAGGAACACAACGAGCTCCTCTCCAAGCAATTTCGGCTGGGATGTTTTCCCGCAGTCGCCTGCTTGAAGCGGAACCGCCTCCCAGGAACATCAAGAGGTCCTTCCCGACATTGAACAGTACGCCGACCATACTTCGGATGCAAACAACTTCAGACCATTCACAGTGGAGCCATCAACACCTTTACCGACTCCCTCTCAGTGAAAGGCGAATTTGAGTAAAACCACCACCTATTGCGAAGAGCTCAAGTTCCGTTCCCACGGCAGTCGGGTCTACGTAACCGGAACGGACCCGGATTTATTCCGGCCAAGGACTGTCAACTCGGCAGAATTCTGTCGCTACAACAACAACAAGAGCTCAAGTTGCCACGAGCATCTAGAGTGACCTTTGCGCAACTTCGTTCTGAGTACTGTAACAGGTTAAACTCCTACTTATCCAGAATCGACCCCAACATACCAAATATATATCCAGCATGCAAGAAGTCTCCGCATGACACTAACCACCTCTCTGCAAGCCCAACGAACCCCACCCTTCTCCCTATAGTCTGTTCCTGTTCAGGATATAAAAATAACTTGGAAAGCAAAAGCGAACATTCCTTTCACACATTGGCAATTATGAGTTGAGCAAAAAATGTGACCTGTGTGAGTTATTGTCTGATTATATTCTTAACAAAGCATTGACAAATTATGTGAACATAGGACATATATACATACATATATGTCAATAAGCGATAATCTCCGCGATTGATCTTGTTGTGCATACTCATAATGTGTCACCAATGTTAAATGTTATCAGTAAAGCAATTTGAAATCATTAAGAAGCCATATGAACGCCTTGCAAAAATGTATACGTATGCATGTATACGCTTGATTACGAGTATAAACCAAGCAATTCTCTCCATCTGAAACTGAACATTTGTCTTTATAAGTATTAATAAGTGCATAATCAATAAAAGAGTTAAATACTGCGATAATGTCTTTATTTATAGTCTGAAATACATTTAAAGCTCACAAAACCTTAACTTTTATTAACAATTGTAACGCAAATATTTTCGATTAAATTTTCTGTCTTCACATAATTCTCCCTCCTTTCAGACCTTCATACGTATTTTTCTTTAATAATCTTATTTTGCTGTGGCAAAGCCGACCCGATCGTTACCCATATCGAATTCAGTATAGTATTTACCGATAAAAACATCACCAAGGATCCACAATGGACCATTTGGTGGTGGAATATCCATGCCCATGAAACCAGACAAACAAATCGTTTTACCCATTTGAGCAATACGTAGAATATAGTCCTTGCCTTCCAATTCGAATGTTTTGCCACCCAATATAAATTTAATTATCGGAAGTTTTGGAATCAATTCGCAAGAGACCATATACTGACCACCTAGGATGGGTGTTCCACCGATAGCTTGATTTATAGCCGTTGTTTCTTCGGTAGGTCCAGCAATTAATGAAGTACCTGTGTCTGCAATTACTTGGCAGCCCCCTTTGCAAAGTTGTAAATCACCGACTGAAGCACCGTCCATTTTAATTTGCCAGTAAGCTTTGCGTGTTACCGGTAGATATGTAAAGTCTCCGACATAATGATCTTTATCTGAACCGCCAAAAATAATTTCTCCACCTTCAGGTGCAGCAGGATCGCGGTTTAAGTAAAATGAAAATACAGGAGCAGGAATAAGGCCCTGTTCATACATATTATAAAATGGTGGTTTTACTCCGTCCACAGATATTGAACTGTATGCCAAGCCGAGGATACCGTCAAATTTTGCCGCAACAAATACGAGACCCGGCTCACTCATTGCTTCGGCAAAAAATTGTTTTTTAATATCTAATCCGCCGATATTCACTGTGTCAGCAGACAAATATCCAGACAAACTTCCAGAGCCATAGTGTATGGCGAATTCGGTGCCATTCTTTTCATAAGTTTTAGACTTTGTAGCATCGTATTTGTTGTGCATGAGGCAAGCGATGTTTGTTAAATGACATTTTTTCGATGGCACCCAAAGGTTTGAGGAACCGGTATCAAAAACCACTTTAAAGCTTTGCGGAGGAGATCCAATTGTTATTGGGCCATAGTACTGCGCATCTAGGTAATTTGAAAGTGGTTCAGGAGCAATGCCACCATTGGCGTATTTAATGCGTAATTGTTGTAATTCGGTGCCCACATCGGAAAAATGTTGTCTAGCAGTTTTAATTTTTTTTAGTGGCACTCGCAATAGCTCGGTATTAGCTAAGCTAAATACCGTGAATACAATTAAGAGAGTTTTAAACATCATATGTAACTGTGATCTAAAAGATAATTGCATAAATATTAAATTAATTTAAAACCTTAATTAAATTAATATGAGAAATATTGCGAAATTCTTTGTTCTCACCACAGTCAGCTTAAATCCGGTTTTATATTTTTATATTATTGCAATTCAATGGTTTAAAAATAACTAAATGGAAAAATCTTTGCAAATTACAAATATCTTGAAAAATTGATAATGACCAAGCAATGTAGAATTGAACAAAAGGGAACGGAAAATTACTTCTGCTTTGTGAGTTCGGTACTACATAAAGGTCAACTCACACATGACAGAGAATGTAGACTCTGCACATGACAAATCTGAATTAGGCTGAAAACCATGCCTAATGCTTCAAACAGTCAACGACATTCGTCCCGTATCAAACCAATTTTGTCAAAAGTTATGCCAGTTGTTCTCTCTTCTTTTCATTTCACCAATGTTGCCATTGTTCTACTTGTATAGATCATTTTTCACACATTTAGTTTTTTAGTTATAATTTTTCATAATGTAATAGCCCAAAACTAAAATCCAACTATTAACAAGTAGGGAAGGGCTAAGTTCGGGTGTAACCGAACATTTTATACTCTCGCAAAGTCAAATGATATAATCGTTTTAGATTTCTTTGTGGATCTTGCCGCCTTGTTTTATGTTGACCGATATTTTCGGTAAAAAGTCAGCTATAAGTACTGGGGTCCACATATTCATAGTTTTGACTCGATTTAGACAATTTTTAGTCACAAGGTGGCATACTTTAAACGTATTATTCACGCAAAGTTTTACCCCGATATAATCATTGTTGCTTGATATGCATAGTGGAAAGTGAAAGAATCAGATGGAATTTAAAATGATGTTATATGGGAAATAGGCCCACGCCCACTGTCTAATTTGAACGCGGTTCCTATAAAGTCATCTCATACCGTCCCAGAGATAAAATTTTATGTCTCTGGCGTGTTTAGTGCTTGGTCGCGCTTTTAGTAGTCTTTAACAGTACCGTTATATGGGGAGTGGGCGGAGTTGCCACCCGATTTCAACTATTTTCACACTGTAGGTAAAGGTTCTTAAAACATTTGCTTCCAGTGAATTTTGTTATTACAGCATCAGCGGTTTAGGAGATATGCACATTAAACCTATTAGGGGCGGGACCATCCCCACTTTAAAAATTTTAACTACAGATGCCCCTCCCTATTGTGATCCTGTATACCAAATAAGAGTCTTGTATCTTGTTGTGGAGCTCAGTTATGGCAATTTATTTGTTTTTGAATAAACCGTTAGGTAGCAACAGGTTGCGAGAGTATAATAAATGTATTCGACTGTGATTTTCAATTATTTCAAATATATTCAAGTTTAATTTTTAATTACTACAAAATATCGAGACTGACAACCATACATTACAAGAGATTGCTCTCTCACTCTCAGCTCACTCCTTTCTATGGGAAAAACCCAATTTTTTGTAGAAGGGGGTAGTAGAAGCGGTGGTGAGTGTTCATTTACATTGCGCTCCAATAAGATAGGTCGTATCAGCTGTTTCGGTCACCGGTTTTGCGTCGATGATTGCTTGAACTATAAGAGTAGCAACAGAGAATGTATATTATAATCTTATTATTATTATTAATCTGTAGATTATAATCTTATTATTATCTTATTATTATAATATACATTCTCTGGTAGCAACGAAAGAGTGATATGAGTAAGATATTGAGAACTAAACCAGAGAACATACAACAAAACTAACTTTTACAGGTTTCCTTCAACTCTACATCAAAACAATGTTATATCCAATTCACATAGAACTTTAGCTTCGCTTTGCGTCCAATGTTAGGCAACGCTCATCTTTTTACGCTTTGCCAAGCAACCGTCGCAATTTTTATTAGAGAGGAACACTGAAAGCAGAGAATGTAGATTATATCTCTTTAGATCTGGTTTTGTTAAAGATTTACTATACTGCGCTTACATGCGGACTCTCTTGACCCTCATTATCGGCAAATTCTCTTTTGGTGTCGCTTTGTGCATTCACATTAGCAAAATGAGTAAACCGGTTGGGTTACAAAAGAATCTGTGTATGAACTGGCTCCTATATAAGGCCTGCCGGATTGTGCAGCAAACACTGTTACAATTAAAGTGTTGCCGTGTAAAGAGCAATTAAGCTATAAGCAATAAGTTGTAAACTCGAATAGCGAGCAATAAGGGTTAAGTTGTTGAAATTAGAAATAGAGATAAGTGTATAGCCAATAAATTGGAACTTTTGTTTAACAATCCAGTGATCGAACTCAAGAGTGAGTTACAAGGTAGATGATTGATCGAGAAATCCGTTACAATATTTAGACATCAATTGTTAAACATTAGCAACGTGGAGTCTCATTCGCAATATTGCTAGCAATTCAGGTTTTTAGCAATCTTAAATTGCCTGCCGAGATGCCCCGCTATTGTGAATTTAACCATAGATGTCTCCGTCAGCAACAGTTAAGTTGGTGATACTGTCAGCGTAATCGTCCATCTTTAAAAAATTCACTACGGAAACGTTCATTTCATTTCGGATTGTCTTCGAGTAAAGATGTGTCATTTATTTGGACTTAAAAAATTGTATAATTTTAGAGAGTATAAAAGGTAAGTACTAATCATCTACACATGCTTCATATTGTTCATAAATTCTAAATGATGCTTATTTATACCGCCCCAGTCGGAAAGATAATGACGATTGGTTCTTTTATTACTGATTTGTCAAACTCGAAAAGTAGTAGTATATAAATATAACGAAACTTACAAAAGCATATTTTAATATTTCAGTGGGTATGGTTGACTTACAATGGAATTTGTGACAAGCTCATTGGTTCGAATATGAATTATCTGAGGACGTGAAATTTGAAATCTATATTTTCCTGTCTACAAAGGTAATTATAAGGATTAAAAAGTGTGTGCTTAATATATATATATGATGTTTTCGAATACCGCCCCAGTCGGATAAATTGTGACGATTGGTTAAAATTGCTGAAATTAATTAAAAAAAAAAAAAAGTTTATCTCACAGAGGAGCTGTTATAATATTTAAAATATTTTATTTTCAGGTCTTCCTAACCACGTGGACGTGGACTTCAGTGTCTAATATAAACCGTACATTAAATGATAAGGTACAAACAACATCTAATTTTAAGTTACTTTGTGTTAGTGATGATAATTAAAAGTAGACAAGCATATAACAGAATTTTCTATGTTGAATACTTTCGTCTGAATGTTATTACAATCATAATATTTTAAAAGTGTAAGAATTATATTGAATATAATTTTTTTTTTTTGATTAATTAGGATTATCTTGGTGTTCGCTGAAAGCAGTAAGATATACACTTTAGACGGGGAGAATATCGATGTACTTCCGGCATCCCACGAGGTAAGCTTCTTTTGTTTTTGTGGTAATTCAAGTTCAACTGATGATTTTTAGTTATCCCTGTCATAAAGACAAGCTTGATGATAAATAAACACTGATAATTTATTATTTAATTATGTAATAACTAAAAATATGTTTACCCATTTAAGTATTTAATGGATTTTCTTGTTTTTTTTTCAGATCTTTGTTGAATAATAAAAACAATGTAATAGCAAGTAGTAATAAAGAATTAATTGCTTTTAAATAATTTGTGTTTTTATTGTAGATCCAGATTGAAAATTAGGAAAATATAGATAAGCCATATATTTGCAAAAAAAAATCATGCAGTTGAATTTCTGATTGTAAAAGCTTTTCTAAACATTCTCTACAATCGAAATCATAGTAAATTTCATTGATATAAATGATTAATCGTTTTCGAAAAGCTACATATTTTATTGCATATAGTGCATAGGAATATGTATTTTTTTACTTAGGTCGCTGTTGAAACTATTGTTTCAACGCATAAATATAATTGTGAATGCTACTTTATCAAATGGGAACAGTGAAAATGGAACACAAGAGAACAGAAAATATGCGAGAAATTGTATTCCTCTTCACTGTAAACGATAGCTTATAAACAAAACGTCGATCATTTAATATATAAAAAGAGGACATAAAGTATGTTTAATTATAAATTACCGGATGGAGGTTTGCGCGCTCATTGTTACTTTAATTCCAATGGTGACATCAAATTTGATCCACCAGTATATGAGCAGCGTTATACTACAACAGTACGCATATTGGAAGATCCACATTGGGGGTACAAATTTAAAAAAGTGAGACCGGTTTTCTACTCAAGTTCAATTTGTATACAAGAGATTAGTATTTCACTTTTTGAAAGCATTTCTTTCAACGCAGGTGGTAGATTTTGGATGTGCTGATATGCGATTATTGTCATTGATACGCCGTACAGAAGGCATTGAACATATTCTAGAGGTAAGTCAGAACTTGTTCCCAATGTGAATTAAGCATATTAGTTATATACTAAATATTTATGTCAATAAATGAAAGGAAATGTGTCGGACTTAAAACACATCTCTATGTTGATATTCTGTTATCTTAAAAAAAATGATTTGGGTATTTGGTTTGGAGACAGTCATCAAAGACCCAATATTAAAAAAAGGTTATAATAAGGCTTAAATTGTCTTGAAGGAATTGAAATTTATATATTTTTTACCGCGTTTATTATCCTTACTTAATTACTACATTGAGATCGCAGTCTGTGAATGGTTATAAAATCAGTTCTTTATATTCGTTTTTCATGTATTCGCGTATTCTCATGTTCCTCGTTGTTTCCATCGTAAACTTATGATTAGCGCTGCATGCTTCATTTTTTTTTTTACATATTTTATACTTTCGGTGAATCAAAACTGTCATGCTTCATTTTTTAAACTTTTAAGATTGTTGCATAAGCTTTTTAAAACTTCCCCCACGAAAATTTTGATGTATAACGTCGCAATAATAACCAAGAATAATAATAACACTAGACTAGTTATAAATAGCCGTCCTGTTGCGGTCATTTAGAAGCGACTAAATTTCAATAAATGGTATCAGCCGAACTGTAAATAAAAAGATATTTTCTTTTTAATACGTTTATATTTATTTATTTTTTTTTATATTTTATTTTACGAAGTTTAATGGTATTTAATTAATAGATATATTTAGGTATTTTACTTAAAACTAAAGTAATAATATTTGGGTAAAAAACAAAATAAAATGAAATAAACAAATACTAATCCACTTTTTGTATGGTGTGCTTAAAACAACGTCTTGGTGAATTGTATGTGACCAATTATGATTATATTACTATACTAACTTTAATTAACAAAACGCTAATGCTCATAAACACAAATTTGTAAACTTGAATAAAATCTGCGCCCTGTTGGTGCACACATTGCCAGAAAATACAACGTTAAATAACCAGTATGCTTGTATTCATTACAAACAAATTCAAAATTGTAGGCAAAACAAAGATAAATTAAACGTCCTAAAAGTAAATCTTACAAGCTATTTAAAATATGTTGGGCGAATGGGTTTATAGTCAGCACCGTGGTGTCGCGTTTGATACGGGTAGAATGCACATGTGTACTCAAAACAATTCAAGGTTTAAATAAAATTAGTTTGTATTTTTGTAGGATGCTATTTTTATCATGGAAGCAAATTTTGTTTATAAGTTCAGTGTGTGCGCTTCTGTACTCATTTTCCATAAACCACGGCGAGACGTTCCCATTGAATTCAATTAAATCTAAACTAAATCTGCTTACTAGTAGTTTAAGTATTTTGTATGTTGGATTAGGAAAGTTTATACAAAATTTACAGTAAGGATCGCGTTAATGTAATTTTAATTTTGCACGTATTAAAATGAATTTTTTTTATATGACATTTATAAAAGTTAAGTAAGATTTGTTTCTCATTACTGATTCTCAGATAAATGTAAATTAACAAAAAAAAAAAAAATATATATACATACATATTGTATATATATAAACGCGATCCATTACCAATAGAATTGCAATTATGAATATCAATTGTTCACATGGTTAAATTAACTATTTAGCATCATATGTTTTTTATGTTAATGTTACTCACATATTTTATTTTTATTCTGAGTTCTCATGTTACGATTTTTACAATTTTAACTTTGCTCATTCCATTTCAATTTTCTTTTGCACAGTTGTTGGTAAATAACAAAAATGTAAACATTACCACTACTTATAATATTTATTCACTCTCTTCTCTTGTCAAACGGGTTTTCTGTACTACGTTACTTTTTTCTACGTTATTTATGAAATTCAAACCAATGTCGAGCAAAAAATTTACTACCATAATTGAAATCGGCGTGAAATTTAGAAGTATTGAACAGTTTCCATAGAAATGCTGCATGCTAACATTTTTCACTTTTTACAATGTCGTGTCGATGCCGCTGCTGCGGCGTTGTTGCCACGATAGTAGATGTTTTCATTATTGATCCTTTTCCAAACGTTGAAGAAACTGCAAACATCTGGGTTAAAATTTGAATTACTTTCCTGTTGATCGATTAGATCATTCATCTCTGTTTCAGTCTCAATTAAGCAACGACGAGTTCGTCGTTCCGGCCTTCCCGTAACACTGCTGCTATTAACTTGAGCTCCCTCATTGTTGTAACCTTTACGATTACTACGAGCTGCACCGGCGACACTACTCCGTTTGCTACTAGATTTTGAAGTAGTTTTATTTGCTACTGTTGTACCATGACTTGATTTGGATGTGGCTGCTGTTGTTTTAAATGCAGATTTTGTCGAATTGATTGTACGTTGCTTATTAGCACTCTGAATTCGACCTTCTGTTTCTAATAATTGTGTACAATCTTTTTTTCTTGTTGATCGGGTATTATGTGCGCGTGTGTTATGTCCACCATTAGGCACATGCTCCATGGTTTCGGTAGCGTCTGTATCTATGTCATCGTCATCGTCATCGTCATCACAATCTCTATCGTTATCTTCCATATCCTCCGTATCGTCTACTTCCATTTCTTCCTGCTGCATGGTTATATATTGAAAATTATCCAAGCTAGTCTATATATAATAAAAAATATTTACCTCATCCTCATCTTGATCCTCATCATTCTCCTCCTCTTCGTCGGTCTGATTAGCAGCGCCACTTTGATGTGAGTCTCTATTATCTTCTGTTAATCTGCCGCTTAACTTTAGGCGATTTTCAACCTCCAATATAGCATAAGTTGGTTTTCCTTCATAACGACGCACTATTGGTTGTTGCACCTCACTAAGTTCCTCCTCGCGATCGAACTCTTTCTCGGCACGTTCGCGGGCTATCTGATCAGGATCTTGTGACAGAATTTCTGCCCATGAAAACTTCTTCTTTTTCATTGATTTCTTGTCAGATTTGGACCTCAAGTTTTTCGGCGACACCCTATTGGAGAGAGTGCGCTCATGGAATGGTGTGCCCACTGCAAGGTTGCTCATAATACTCCATGCTGTATTGCTGTTGAGTTTATTCATCTCGAATATATCGTTTTTGTTCTCAATTTCCTCTTTAACACGTACACAAGTGCGTACGATTTCCTTGCTGTCCAAGTGCAATTCTGCGAGTGAATAGCCAAGCTGCTGAAACTCTCGTTCGAATAAGCGACGGTACCGCCCATAATCTGGTCGGTCGTGGTAGGCTAATTGGCTAACTTGATGTAGAAAATCGCCCAAGTATTTAGGAACCTGTTTGCCATAGATTTGTTTTAACATTTCGCGAACATCGGTCATTAGGTATTCCTTTGCGCGATGTACCTTTTCCTGTTGATGCTGAATTGCTGCATCCTTCCATGGCAAATAACCTTGAGACCAGAACATTAAGTTATAACCTAAACATTCTAGATCACTACGACGTGAATGGGCACCCATATGAGCATCTCGTGATGTAAATTCTAAAGTACCATCGTGTGCTCGACGTTGATCCATTACGAATGGACGATGTACCCCATTATCCATAAATTTGGAAGCCAGTCCGAAATCAATAAGGAAGATACGTTCTTCCTCAACGACTACAAACGATTCTGCAACAGCTGTGGGTGGTGAATTATCGCTAGTCGTTTTTTGTAAATGTTTATTAGCGTTTAACTTATTAAACATTTTTTCTTGACGTCGCGTTATCCGTGTTGTTGGTAAGCAGGAATTTGAGGCATGACTCGACTTCTTTATTGTAGCGGAGCGACGAGCAGACCTTGGTAAAAATTCTTCGAAATCATCATCTGTTGTCACAGATTTCGATTCCATTGGTTCATCTTTTATGGAAGTTGTATCTTCATTAAAGAATTCTGAGTAACTAATACGTTTTGTAGGACGTAAATAATGAGACTTCACCATCTCTTCATATATGGAATTTCGTTTTTGTCGGCGACATGAGCGTACCTAAAATGAGTTTAAAGTTATTTTAACAAAATCATTATTTTCTTTGTTCTTTTAAATACCGGATTAGAACCACTAAATTCTATATTATTCCGTGGGCGACGTTTGCGGTTACGATTTACTGGTGTTTCGTAAATATCTACACTGTTACTGTTGTTGCTGTTGGTAGTAGCGCCATCATCAAAGTCCTCATCTTCATATTCGTCTAAAAACACATTTCGTTTAACAATGAAATCTTCATCCTCTTCTTCATCATCATTTGCTTCTTGCTCGGAACTATTTCCACTATCAGTTGTCTGTTGCTTTTCTTCGTAATGTTCATCATAGCTTGAAGATTTTACATTTGAAGAACGGGACGATTTGCTTTTGCCTGTGGTAACCGGAGCAGTTGCAGTTTGTTTTTTATAATACTTGCATTTGGAAATCATAAGATTTTGTGCCTTAACATCATTATGGCAGTAGCCTTTGTCGTGTAATTTTTCTAAAACATCTACAATCTGTATGGCTAGAGTTAACACGCATTTCTGATGGACACGACAATTTTTTATCAATGAGTGCAAATCGTGATCAAAACGCTGCAATATCAGGAAACGGTAACGTGCATCTCCAAAATAATGAGAGCCCGATGCAATATATTTAGGTATACCGGTAGGTAGGTGTTGCATCAGTGGCGCCGTATAATCTTGTCTATTATTTTTATCACCTTCGGTTTTTATATGGTTATCTGTTAACAAAAAGAAAATGGGATTGAATAAGATTAATGTTTTTGATGTTAATACAGTTCTTACATTCGTCCTTGGCAGTATTCATCAAACAATGAATTTCCACAAACAAGGGTCCATTTGAATGTGGTTCAATTTTTACAACGAACTTTGCATTCTCATTAGTAACCGGAATGGAAGTATTATCTGAAGCTAAAAATATTTCTCCAAAATTTCCTTTGCCTATGGGAAAGAACGAATATATTAATATTTATTTAAATAGATAATCAATGCAGTAATATGTAAAAAATTGTATTTACTTGGTTAGAGAATGAATATATATTTACATGAAGACATGCATACACGCACCCATATTATACAGGTTATAACAATACAAAAATTAAGAATTCAAAATTAGTACCAATTTATCTTTGCGTCTGACATCAGTTTCAATATTAACACAGTCACTTACCAATAGGTTTACCAAGCCGCCAAGGTTTCTGCATTAGGTCGTACATAATAGTGCCATTAACTATGGATGGTAATAACGTATATACTGGTTTTGGGGACTCGTTCAGTGAAGTATTTGCGCTAAGAAGAATTGACGAATTGTTGGCATGCTTTGTAGATGGATGTCTAATCATTGGTGTTACATGTGTGGCATCATTAGAAGATGAATCTTCGTCATCATTTTCGTGCCAGTAGTTATTACTTCCTCTCGTTGCCTTGGGTGTTGTGGTGATCATTTCAGAATCAATTGCTGCTCCAGACGAGTTTCGCTTACGTTTGCGTATAGTGCGTGTAGCTTGCAATGAATGCTTCGCCTCGACGACTGCCATACGTTTGCCCATTTTTGGCTCTTAAATGCTCACTCCTAAGTTGATCGAAAAATTGTTATGGAAAGACTGAGCTGATAGTTGCCACAAACATTTGGTGAAGATTTCCCTCTATGTATTGTATTATATTCTATGCACTTGAACTTAAAAACCCATAGATTTGTTTGTTTGTTATTTTCTACCAGTTACCTATATCAAAGCAAGAATTATTTTAACCAAAATTTTGTAATCTCGTACTTAATATAATACAAAATCAGTCTGTAAACTCTACTGTTGTCTTCTGTTAATCTTTATTTGAAGGAACGTTCAACGTTTAGTTTTTGTCCGCTTTAATTTTTACTATTTATTGGACTACGATGTAAGCGCTCATGTCATTCTAATAAATTGGCTTCCACTTTTTGACAATTGGCTGATCGTTGTAGACTTTGTTGATTTTAGTGTTGGTGTTTTGAATTACGGATTGCTTTTCATTGTATTTAGCAACGTTATTTCTTTTTTGTTGTGATTATACTTTGTTTTATACCACGAAAATATATGTAAAGAGAGAATGTAAAATACGTTAATAAAGTCATACAACTCAATTCAAAACCAGATAAAGGAGCAAAAATTAATCGATTGCACATGCCCTTATGCATTATACTTCTGTATATACATATGTTTACATATTTCGATATTATATATGCCAATAGCTAAAATTGTTCGCTACTATAAACGTTTAGACCATATGTATTTATGTTGCACTCTTCTATTTTAAATGAAGAATTCGATTTGCGATCAAAAATCGCTCAATTCCACTGTTCCCCTTTTACGATTCGATACTGAATATATCATTTGTTTGCTCTGTCTTCATTCATATATCTTTATTACAATTTCTTCAAATATATTACTTAGCGACATATGACAACAACATGTACAATCAGTAAATAATTTTTGAAACAACTACAGCAATTATAAAGGTATATTTTTTTTAATTTACACCAACAAAATTTTTGTACAATCCACACCAAATTTACACAGCAATACAGATAAAACATTTTGGCAAGGCAAGTGTAGGATGAAATGAAAACAGCGGTGGCAACCGAACGAATGGCTCGGTTGCAGCAGCAGCGCTAAAAAAAATTTCTTTCGAACACTTTTAAAATCGATGCAACGCGACACTGTTACGAATGGAACAAACCTTTTCTGAATTACCCATCAGGTATTACATGTACAGACATATTTCTGAACAATGCACAATATAGATACGATTAAATATATTATATTAAACTTTAACAACGATTTTGCTCAAGTCAAAAACATAAAAAAATTTTACAAGTTCGGTTAAATGCTGCTTGGCCGACTAATTTGGTCGCTTTTTTCTCTTTCGGTTTCGCTTGTTCCGATTTCAAGACAGAAGCAAGAGAAATAAAAAACTTATCCAATGCTGAAAGTTTTCACTGTTGTACACACTTTTAAAATAATTTTTTCACGATAATTCGCGATCCGATGCTTTGCTTTTATATTCCTTTAACTCAGAAAAAATTGGGCTATATTTTGATAATGATTTTGTCTAATTACTTAGATAATTCTCGTAGAATTCGCTATAAAACCTACTGAGTTAAAGTTTCCCGATTTCCGTCGATTCCACACGATAATTGCATTACAAACACTAGCTCAACGAAATCGCCGAAAATCTGCTCCACGGTCGGTGTGTTTCACTTTTATTCGCCGCGTTGCGGCATATGTGTTTGCTTCTTCTTAATTATATTTATTCACAATACAACACAACTCTATTTATTAATAGCTTGTTTATATGTACTGTGAACTAGGCTTTTTTTTATTTAATACGGCGTTTCCGTGTTTTCCAAAATTTGTTATATGCTTTGTGAATTACGAACGGTTAATTACCGTGTTACTACACAAATCACAATTTGGTAGTACCTCTGCTTTGTTTACAACTGGCCTGACATTGCTTTGTTTACAGCACCTGTCTAAAATAACTCGAACAAATATGGAATAAAACTTGGTTATTAATTCTTTGCATTTGATATTTAATAGATATTTTAAAAAAGGTTTTACTTTTCTGTTCAGGTTGACATTGACGAAGATTTATTAAAGAGCAATAAACTGAGAGCAGAACCCTTGGTAACGGACTATTTGAAAAAACGTGAAACTCCTTTACGAATCGAATTATTACAAGGAAGTATCGACACGCCGGCTGAACAATTGTTAAATGTAGACGCAGTCATCGCTTTGGAAATGTAAGTAAATTATATAGAGTAAGACAATTTAATCATTACTAATACATAAATATATTATATTTATTAATAGAATTGAGCATTTGTACCCAGATACACTAGCGAATGCTCCAAAAAATATTTTCGGTTTTATGCAACCGAGACTAGCAATATTTTCAACACCAAATTCGGAATTTAACGTACTCTTTGAGCCGTTACTAGCAAATGGTTTCCGACATGATGATCATAAATTCGAATGGACACGCTCTGAATTCAGGGATTGGGCATTAAATATTTGTCAACAATATCCAAATTATAAGGTTGCTTTTATGGGTGTTGGGGATGCACCACCAGATAGAAAAGATATTGGCAACGTAACTCAAATAGCAATATTCGCACGTTGTGATTTGCTGGATCGTTCTCTTCATAGTGAGTTACTTCCCAGCAAGGTCGCAGTAGATTGTAGACCTGATGCAGATGTTCGATACAAAGAAATATTTACAGTAGATTTCCCAGTTTACCTTGATGAACGTAGCAAAGATCAAAAGATTCTGGATGAGGCGCGTTATCAAATCAGTCGTTGCCGACGTATCGATAGATATTTCAATTGCGATTTACGTGTGTATGAAGTACCTCTCACAGTTTTAAGGGACTATATTGAAAATATTGGCGCTACAATACAAGAACTGCTTACTGTTCTGAAAGAAAATGGTATTGAAGTAAAAGAAGAATACATCATATTACCCGAATATGATGAGGATGATTTAAGTTATCATCAATATGATGATTGTTACGATGAGGAGTTGGGAGTGTGGAATGATGTTGGGTATGCTGTGGATGAGACCGGAAATGATGACGAACGGGGTGCATGCGGTGGATATTCACATACTAAAGAAGACACCAATTATGATTCTGAGGAAAATTGGGATTAAGCGAAAGCTAGTAGGGGTTTAATTTAGTTACAACTTAAATAATAAACCATTATTATATGTATGAAGAAAACGATAAAATGAAATACTATGTATAAATAAAGCAGTATACAAAATGTTACTTAAGTAGAGATTTTTTAAAGAAAATGGGATTGAACAATCACCGGGTCAACAGTGAATACTTTTTCCCTATAATAAATGTACGTGAATACATATCTACAGACATAACTTGTTTTTGTCAATACAATTAAGAGCATTTCTTTGTAAACATATTCGGAACGCATCCCTCTATCTCTATTTGTAAATCTTTACTTTCACTTGTGATTACGATTTCCTCCCTTAAAATTTATGAAAATCGGAAAAAATAAGGTCTTACTTCAATTAGCGGTGGGGTTGACTGAATTTCGTGTACTGTGTGATATGTAGAGCCTCCACTTCATGTTGCAAATATTTGCAATCTTCAACAAATAGACAATAAAAATAACGCATGCGCATAAATGCTATTGCAATAGCGAGAGAAGAAATCCATTTAAAAATTAGTGGAGTTTCTTTAGGAAGAAATATTTAACTGACATTAGTAAATCTTAAATGCAGACAAGCAAAAATCAGTCAGCCATTATGCATGAAAGGAAGAGGACGATTTAATAGAAAAAACTGTATAAAAGTTAGCACATAAAAGCAAATGTTAAATAAAGTCAAGATTTTGAAGTTCCCTGTTTGTAGTTTCGGTTGAAATTATGTTTAAAAATAGTTTCCAAGTGTACTTTTTCTAAAACGTTCGGGTCTCGCTTCGAAACCTTTACATATATTTACTGCGATAAACCAACGTTTAGCAATCGAAATTGTATATTTTGGTGTATTTTTACAAAAACAAAAAATAGTTGCTATTTGCATAACTTTACCGTCATGGCTGATGAGGGAGCGAATCCGGAAAAAGAAGCAGAAAAGAAAATTGTGCACACATATCCGCTTGTCAAGGTATGCACGATTTGTCAGGCATGAAATAAAAGCTACCAGAAGTAGAACTTCGACGTGAAAAAAAAAGAATTATAATTATTTAAAGGAAGAATAAACATATAATTGAATTATTAAACGATATTTTCAGCATTCAGATATGAACGAAGAAATGCGAACAGAAGCTATAGAAATGAGCATTACAGCTTGCGAAAAATATTCGAGCAATTATGAGGTAAGTTTCAAATAAACCGAGAAATTTTAAAATTATGAAGGTTTTGATAGCAACGTTTTTATTGGTTTGTTTATATAATCAGAATTTTTCCATCTGAAATATATAAGGAGGGATTTGGCAATGCCTGCCGAGCAACGATCGCTATTAACTATTGATGAGTTCATTGACAAAAATTATTATACTTTACTACATATATTTAAACTTACAAGAAAATACCTAAAAACACCAAGACCTTTATAACAAATCCTTCAAAAGTGTCAACAATAATGACCTACATACGAACTTATAAGTATAAACTTATGTATATGTATTTTGCTTATTTATGTTTATAGCAAGCGGCACGTGTTATCAAGGAAACCATGGATAAGAAGTTCGGTATTTATTGGCATGTGGTTGTTGGTGAAGGCTTTGGATTTGAAGTCTCCTACGAAACCAAAAATATTTTATACCTTTTTTTCGGTGGAAATTTAGCAATTTTGCTATGGAAATGTTCATAATGACAAAAGACAAAAACATATTTACATGTATGTATGTGTGTGTTTAAAAACGTAACTATGCAGGAATCAGTTAAAAACGAAATTGCATACAATTATGTAAAGAAATAATAATAATAATAATTGCAGTGCAGTCGGAAAGTTGAAAGAATATGACTATTTAGGGAACAAATAAGGAAAGTGTATTAAATTTAGTAATATACCGAAGAAAATAAATGGTTTACATACACCTGTACCTAAATTATAATAAAGTTACAATATTAATAAGAAAAAACAAAATAAACAAAACTTGGTGATCACCTAAATGCAATACAATAATTGTAAATATTTTTTATACGACTAATGTAATGAAATTTATAAGAGAATATAGAAATAAATTATAAGTAATTTGAAACATAGTTTTTATAATTAGTTTTGCATATACATACATGTATGTATACATATGTATGCTTGATTTACAAAAGAATGGTAACCGAAGTGGAGCATGTATTATGCTACAGGATGAGAGGATGTGCATGTTTTATCAATATTGATTCAGTATACATAATTTCACGACTTTAAAATATTATAAAAAAAATATAAAAAAATATATAAAAAAAATATTATAAAAAAATATATAAAAAAAATATTATAAAAAAATATATAAAAATTTATAAAATATTAATATTTAAAAATATTAATTTATAAAAATATTAATATTATAAAAATATTAATATTATAAAAAATATTAATATTATAAAAAAAATAATATTATAAAAAAAATTTAAAAAATATTAATATTATAAAAAAAAGTTTAAAAAAAATATTAATATTATAAAAAAGTTAAAAAAAATATTAATATTATAAAAAGTTAAAAAAAAATATTAATATATAAAAAAAAAGTTTAAAAAATATAAATATTATAAAAAAAGTTTAAATAAAATATTAATATTATAAAAAAATATTAATATTATAAAAATATTAATATTATAAAAAAATATTAAAATTATAAAAAAATAATTAAAATTATAGAAAAAAAAATTATTAAAATAATAAAAAAAAACAAAGTTATAAAAAGATTATTAAAATTATAAAAAAAACTATTAATATTATAAAAAAAAATAATAAAAAAATAAAAATAATATAAAAATAAAAATAATATAAAATTAATAATACACAATAACACATAATGTAAAATTAAAGATATTAAAAAAAATGCAAAAAAAAAATATATAATAATGCAAACAATAAATAGCAACAGCATAAATAGCACATGAATTGATTCCTTTCTTTTACAACCATTTGATTCAACATAGGAAAACATAGTTGTTTTTGTAAAATTATTAATTTATTTGTGTAGTATCCGCATTATATAACATTTATGAAAATATTGAATTTTTTGTTTTTCACTAAAACGTGCGTAATTATTATTATAGTTATACCTACACAGCTCGATTGTTATAAAACTCATCGAAAATTTCTTTTAAAGTGTTCATACATATGTTTTTGTTAACTATAAATCAGGAAACATAAAACAAAGAATGGAACATATTACTAATTATAGTTTTGCTGGTCACTTATATGACAAACTACGCAAAAACATCCTCACGATCTGCGCCCGAACCGTCGCCGGCATCTTCCAAATTGGAGAATAATAAAAAGTGTGAAGGTCGATGTATTTCGTGATAGAATTCCTTAGGATTCGATAATTGCAGCTCATACTTCATGTTCGCATCGTGTCGTACGCCCATAAAGTTATAATTCCAACTGCCCTGCGCGGGCACCATGAAAAAGCCGAGGAATTTGTTCGATAGTAACATTTGAACGCGTTCGTAATGTGACGGTAAGTAACCCTTGGGATTGTTACCCTTATCCGTATTTTTAGAGCCCCATTCAAAACCGGATGGCGTCAGTTTGTAAGCAGTAAGTGAACATGATCCTGGCGTGAATGAACAAGTAATCACAATAGTCTTTTCACCGTCCCACGTTGCATTTTCTTGCATAATCTTCGCATGTGTGGTGATATCTTGTGGTGATAATTGTGGCAACTCATTCGGTTGTGTATGTATCCAACCGAGTGGTTCCATGTCTTTGAGGTACTGATGCGTAGGCAAAGTGTTGGGCAAGTTCAGCGTCTGATGTGTGCCCCATTGTGGTGGCATAACAATGCAACGGATTTCTTTGACCTGAACGATGCAATGCAATGCATTAACAAAAATTTAAACATTTATTATACATTTTGAAATTCTTCAACATAGCAATAATAATTTATAACAAATTACCTGAGGATTGTCCGGCGGACTTACGCCATACAAGTAACCAGCGATTTGGGCGCGCAAATCGGAAATTGTGACGAACTTTTTCAGTATATTCTTCGGTAAAATATACGTATAACCAGTTTCTTTTATATCGTCCGAACTGACATAAATGTGATTCGTACGCAAATGCAGATTTGTAGCTGATATAGCACGTACACGCCACTCGGTTTTCGAACTAAACGTTTGCGTTTCATAATTCGATGTGGTAGAGGTAATAATTTCATCGCCATGTTTGTTCGTTGTACGTGTTGTTGTGGCTGTCAGTTGATTTTGTTCTTTTGTTTGCTTTTCAATTTCAGCTATTTGTTGACGCTGCGCAGAGGGTGCACTAATTTCCATACCCAAAATAATATCACGAATTTCCGATTGTGTTAGCGAGGCCACATTTACATTGTTCTTTTTGCCGTAATCGGCCAAAATCAGATCCTTAAGCTGCACTTCCACCTTTATCCATTCTTCATCGGTTAGTGTTGGCCAGATATGATGCGCCTCCGTTATAGTTGTCTTATCCGGTTTCAGTATGATCTTCGTACGTTCGGTGTTCACATGTAACGCACGTAAGATTAAAATCAGACGACTGAATGCTGTATACGAAGAGATGGTCTTCAACCAATCATCATAGAGATTGAATAACACCATTTGCGGTTCGGTGGCTTTCAGAATAAGGTCACCGAATTTTTCCACTTTAAGGCAGGCCTATTTTAAAGGAGATATTATAAAGAAATTTAATATGTTTAGAAAAATTGGTATTTTATATTTATTATGTTCCAAAAATATAACTTTTGTTTGACTCACCTGGAATGGTAATTGCAGTTCGGAGCCTTTGATCACAATATTCGGGAAATCCAGCAAATGCACCTCCAACGGATCCAACATACCCTTACGTGTGACGATGATTTGTTTAGGTTGCTCTTCCACCGGTAGCGAACGAATTAAAGCCGCTACTTCTTCGGCGGTTTTCCATTTCGCCAACTGACCCAAACGTTTTTGACCCGCCCACACAGATGTATGAATGATTTTCAAGAATAATTGGCCAGTACGTGGATTGAAAATGAAGATTGCACCGTTAATTGGTTTCGTTGTTAGATTGCCTTCGAATGTTTTGTGTATGGTTACACGATATACATTCGTGTCGTCAACAAACCAAATGATCTGATTCGAAAACAATTCACCATAATTCTGTGAGCTCAGATATGGTTCAGTTGGCTCGGATGAGTAAAGTTGTAGAGCTTTACGTATACGTTCACGTAATACATACAATGCCGGATTGGCCTTCATAATTTTCGCCATAGCCTGCTGTATGAGTGTCTTACAACCTGGGAACCAGTTACCGTAGGCAGAGTGTAAGTTGTATGCCAAATCAATAGCGATTAGCACACCCGTCGGCGAAGGATATATGGACATGTTGTCGGTGGTGTAGTCAAGAAATTTGGCACGTGCATAACGTTCCACATCGTGTGAATCGTAATCACCCCAACGTAACTGTATGTCCAACCAATACTTTTGTGTTGTTGTATTGTCCATTGTATCTTTTGTGTCTGCCAGTAGAGATGGTCGCGAAACATTCCATTTGTAAGCGGGGAATAGCAAAATGTCAGCACAAGACGAATTCATCTTATATGATTTACGCGGATGTATAGTCTCCTTTTGTACAGTCTCAATTTCGAGTGCATCCAATTCCTGATCGAACACTTGACACAAATCCATAACAATGGACTCGTGTATCTTTTGCCACAAGTGAGCACGGAATATCTGAATCAAGGAGATTTTCAATGTTGGAATTTTGCCATGCATAAAAATGCCCGTTAAATCAAGTTGCACTTGGAAACCAACGTATACATTGGCACGATTGATAGTTGGTGACCACCATAGTGTGAAACGACGATTGGGAATCTGATTCAAACCGGAACGTTGAGCATTAGTTAGTTTTTTGTACTTCATTGACTCTTCAAAACCAGATGCTTTTTCCCAGAAAAGACCCTCCCAAGTTGGGAAGTATGTACCCTTGAAGAGTGTATGCTCTAGAATACCCTCTACGCCACCCAAAGCTTGTATCATGTCTGTACGGTAATTATTCAAATTCCATAATTTACCATCATGACGTTGATGTGTCCACCAAAAGGGATTTTGTTTAAGCACTTGATATTGTTTGAATTCTGTGCGTATACGCCAGCCCTTATCGTAGGCGAGTGTGTGGCGATCTTTTTGGAAGAGCGTATTTATACGTGGTATACCGCGATCCCAGCTATCTTCCAAGTCCTCTAAAGTCAGACGACGATTCTGCGCATTCGCCTCTTGCCGTTTCAATGCATATTCGGCCCACACGCGTTGCGAATCGATAAATTCGCTCTCCCATGGTTGAATATAACGATATAAATTCGGAATCAATTGATCTTCGTCATGTGACATACCTGTTAAGTAGAAGAAATATGTATTTTTTATAAATAAATTGTATGTGTAATTATTTTATAACGGTGTTTACCTGAGCGGAAATGTGTAATACCGACATCGGTCTGCTTAGACCAACGCAAATCCGATTGTGGAATAAGCACGTGACCCATGCTCAACATGCCTAAGCCACCCAACTCTTTTGGTGTATAGAACACCACAGGTGGGAAACGTGAAGGCATTTTTGAGTTGAGACCAATTTTTATACGAGTCTGTATTTTATTTTCACACTTGACCAACAGGTCGAGCAGTTCCTGCGTGTTAACGACAGCTTCGCGGAAATAGGTCATAAGGCCAATAAGCGCAGTATTCCATTTATTAACAATCTTTAGAATATCAAAAATATTTAAAAAACTAGTTCATAGTATAAATTACATTTGTTTTTGTCACCTTTGTGAATGTTGTGGAACCAGAAGCCATTAGAATCTGTCGCACACGGTTATGGAATCGGCCCAACGACTCATCATCCACACGCAGGAAACACTGAGCTGTACGCTCTTTTGTCACCTCGTTTTGTAAATTCCAGACGCCATCGCGATGTGTGAATTCTTCAGTTTGTGTCCGACACTAAATAGCAAATAATCTAAAGATATAGAATTATAATAAAAAAATATTTTCGCAAAATAGTACCTTCGGCAGTATACGACATTCAAAGCCGCACATATTAAATAACAAATTTGGATTGTCTTTCGAGTAGACCGACACGAAAGTGTTCTCCCAGTTAATGGTCGTAACGGAGCGAGGTAAACGATTCTTAATATCCCAGAAAACCGCACGTCCCCTGAAAAAATGCAATAATAGAACCAATATTTAGAGTCTTAATAATAAAATAAAAATGGCAGAGCAAGCAACTCACAAGTTGACGTCATGTTTCATCAACCGCATGCGCGCATCTCGTGGCCAACATTTTTTATTGTTGTAACCAACAATATTTTCATTATTGGGATCTGGATGTTCGGTGAGATAACGCTGAATCAAATCACGTGCTTCTTCCGCCGTAAAACGGAAGAACAAATGAATACGATCCACATAACGGCAATATAAACGTATTGGATGTGCAGTTTCGGTAACTGTATCTTGGAACGTGAGGAAGTCGTTTGGCATTTGTGGTGGTCCGGCCATCTCACTGGCGCGATGCAAACCAAGCATTAGCAAATCCAAAACCAAACCGTAGTACTGCGTTATAAAAGAGGAGAATTGAAGGCCACGTATAATGCCATAACTGTTGGTGTGATTCATGTCTTTATAGTTGATGACGACGTTATTCTTAGCTGTCATATAATCGGCAATATTGTGATCAACTATGAGTCGAAGTAAACGATTCAACAGTGTTAAATCGATTTTTTCATATAGCTTTTCGAAACGCGATTCCAGCAGTACATTGCATTCGCCCTCGCCTACATCCCAAACGTCCTGCAGATTGTTAATGCCTTTGGATTGTGCAGTATAAAAGTCAGTATAAAATATATGTGTTATGTTTGAAAGAAAACATTAATTTGCAATTCATAAAAATGTACAATATTTATAGCTTCATTGGTTGAAAAGTAGAAACGCGAATGCGTGAGGTTTGCAACAAGGGGATTTCAAATGCAAATCACTTTGCTACAAATCACACACACAAACGTCTACATACGCACACTTATTGTAGAAAACACTGATTATAGCATTCTAATGACCGTCACACCGGCTATGGCTATTCACTCACCTTGACACCACTTATACGCCAACAGTGGTGGCGGTTCTGTGTCGCTTGGTTTTATCCATGGCGGAAAGAGCCGACGCTTATCCGCTTCATACCATAAATATTGATCTAAATAAGCATCCGTTATTTTCTCTAGTGGTTCAACATCGTAGACGGGTATCAAATGGCTATATAAATCCATAAACTCAATACCAACCTAAAAAATTGTACAAGGGAAGTTGTATAAAGAAAATACATTAATAAGGTTTATTATGCCCTGAACAGGCTATATTAAGTTTGCCACGAAGTTCATAACACCCAGAAGGAAAAATCGGAGACCCTATTAAATGTATACATAAATGATCAGCGTGATAAGTTAAGTCGATTTAGATATGTCCGTCCGTATATACAAAGACTAGACCGTCAGTTTTTGAGATAACGATCTAAAATTTTGCACACGTCTTTTTCTTCCCAAAAAGCTGCTCATTTGTCGGCTATCGGACCACTATAGCATATAACTATATAATAATATATACTTTGTTATTTGACGCGATCGCTTTATGAATTTAGCCGTGCGTTATTGTTCGAATCACTATAGCATATTGCCGTCATAAAAACTTACAGATCAGAATTAAGAACTTGCATACATTTTTTATTTGTGTAGGGTATTATAGCCTTGGTACAACCGGATTAATGATATTTCTTGTTTTAATCAACATACCTCTTTAAATGCACGCTGAGTTAGCAAATGACGTTTGATACGCGACAAAGCCTCATGCGGGTTATCATAGGCCTGTTCAATGAGACCCAACTCTTCACGCTGGCTTTGATTTAGACGCGATTTGACACTATATGCTTCTTTTAGACGCTCCAAAGCCAATATTAGTAATTTAGTGTCATGTTTATATGAAAGCGGTGGGAATGGTATTGGACCGAAGCGTCGTGATTCCAACCAATGCACTGTTGTTGTGTAAATGGCTACAGCTTCTTCGGGTGATATGTATGGACCATCTTTTAAATAATTATGTTGGCGTTCTTGCTCTGCCTTCAAATAAAGACGTGTTAAACGACCTAAATTTTTCTTGCAAACCGTTTTGTCAACTGTAGCGCCACGACGTATGCGCTCGCGATTGTAGTGCGCAGTGTTAGTCCACCAATCGGCCTTCATTTTGACATAACGCAATATCATGTTTTCTATAGGTATTGGCAGGCCGGGCACTTTCCATGGTATATTCGCTTTCCAACAACGCCAAGCTTCCGATAAATGCTGCAATATGGTACGCGCTTTGTTTTGTTTAATACCTTCTGGCATCATATCAACGATATCGTGCATAACTGAGGCACGTAACTCCAAATCGAAGTGTGATTCGACACGTTGCTTTGTGACGGTCTTCGCGACACCCTTTGAATGACGACCCTCAAATTGACGTGACAACAAATTGCCCAACCAACGTTCTAACAGCGGAGTTATTCCCCGCATAAAGAATAACCAAACACGCCAACCTGGTGCCCAGAAACCACAGCCTGGACCTTTGCCAACAGGACCCTAGGATGAAAATATATATATATATATTATATAATATTGTATCATTGGAAACACACAATAATTTACCGTATTGAAGCGATAGTAGATCAGATGTTTTAAATCTTTGCACATGCGTATTTGTCTCATTAATTTGTATTTGTAGCGATACATGCCAGATAACTGGCCAACATGTGCGAATATGTACTGCAGTCCATCAGCCAATTGAAAAGCGTCGACATTATTAAGACGATATTGGACATGCGAATCAATGATCAATTTAGTCAGATGCAGGATTTCACGACATAAATGAAAGGCTGTAATTTGAGAAGAAGGTCTGTGCTGAATTATAAAAACATATATGAAATGCTAGGATACCAACCGTTGCCGAAACGTGATTTTTTACGTTCTTTTGTGGTTAGAGTTTTCACCGGTTTTAAGTTAAAGTTATAATCCAAATGCAAATAGTTTAGATTTTTACGATGAATTAATAAGTTAAGCATATTGTAACCCTGCCGGCAAACTTGCAAGCCAGCCTCTACCCAATCTAAGGTGGTGGTTTGAAAAAATTTCGTCGCTTTAAATGAGCGAAACAGATACCTTAAGAAAAAAAGAAAAATACTGTATACAACATTTTATAACACAACTTTTTTGACTAACCTCTTTTTCTGTGGTTTTGGTTTGCGATGTTTTAGCGCATTTAATACGTAATATTTCAAAAGCTTCTGATAGCTCACACGTACTTTAACAGGATGACCTGGTGGGCAGTGTTCTTTGTACCAACTTTTAACAAGCGGAACGTCTATAGCGCGACGCGATCGGCCCGAGCGTAAGTTAAAAGGTCGCGGTGCCCATAGCAGTGCTATACCGTTAGCTGTGTTATCAGTGTAAAGTGGTGTGTCTTGTAGGAAAGGTTGTACTTCATCGGGCAATGAGAAATCTTCATCATCATCCGGCATCGGTTCCGCAATCTTGGTATTAGCATGGCGATGTGAAATCGGATTGATTAGCGGATCGAAGTAAAAGGCTGGCAAATCAGGATCTTCAGTTTTAATGTACACGACATTGGGCGTATGATACCTATATGGTATATAAAAGTACATATAACACACAATTATATATATATAAATATGTATAGTATAAATGATTGCAGTTTATTGGTTAATATACTTTAATGCAATAATGTTTAAATGTAACTGTATGCAACTGTCAGCAGCTGTAGGGGAGTAAACTTTCTCTTACAGCTTCAACGCAAATCGCACCTCTGAAAACTTTTTGAAATAAAGTCGCTTGAAAGTAGTAATTTTCTTATGAGTTTTGTTTTTTGTACCACCAACATAGAATAAGTGCAGAAATAATGCTTTGAATTTCTGCGTTTTCGAGTGGTATGTAATATTCAAAGTACATAAAAGGAGATATTCACTTACCAGGAAAGGTGCACGAAATGAGGCATATTATTGTAAAGGTAGGGAAAAGCAATTCGATATTCTGTGCGAATTGGTTGACGTATGATAACCTTATTGATGTCATTAAATTCATTCCAGTCTTCATCGCTATTGAAAATCAATATAATATTGAAATTTATAGATAAAATTAATTTTGTTTATAATTCGAGCTTACCCAACATTGTGATCTTTTATGAGCGGTTCAAATTTCGGTCCGCCTGGTATAGCCATATTAAGCGCTTTGGCGGTAAAGAAACTTTTGGGATCGAAGAGGTAGAAAAAATTGTCATCTACTAAATCAGTAAGCAACTGATTGGCTAATCGATATAAAGTAGCCAATTGCGGCAAGGTCAAATTCCATTTACGATAAGTGGATCCATTCACGTATGGGGTTCCGACTAGAGGTCTATGCTCGTAGAACCATTTATGTACGGGTCCATCTTCTTCCGTATCTAAATCAATTTGAATGGCTTCCAACGGTTCAACATCCAAAATATTGTCTGCATAGTCTAGCGGCGGTTCTTCATCATCAAAGGGAGGGAATCGCATACGTTTAAAATGGCGCCGATCACGCTTTTCCCGACGCATCATAATCCACATGGTTCTAAACAGAAAAAATTGTTTTTCTTATAAATACATCAATATACATCTATATCACTTACCCCCATTGTGCTATATAAACTGGTTCAATAACCCATGGTATTTCATTTACGAAAGTTATAGCACCTGTGATATGATACAGGACTTGTACATCGCGTATTTGCTCCCAGGGCATCGGCATGTTTTCAAGTAGTTTCAAAACTGCATGCGGCATATATTTCAATGCCCCCAAGTATACACGCTTATCATGCCGATATTTACGCGAGGTCATATCACCATGATCACGTATTATTTTGCGAATGTGCTCAGGTGGCATATCTTCTTTTTGAGCATCGACAAAACCAAATTTTCTTTTCTCTGCAAATCTTTTCGATTGCAATTGGTGCCATTTCTGTGCTTTTTCTTGTAGCTTCTCCTCAGTAATAATGTCGGGTTTGGGTGTTGGTATTTGGCCTAGTTGGGCTTGATTGATACCACCGACACTATTACTACCAACTATTCCACCTTGTGGCATACCAACACTGCCATTTGTCATCGGTACCGGTAAAGGAGCACCCGGAGGAGGAATTTGTTGTATTTGATTTGCCATTTGATGTGCATGCATTTGAGCTTGCTGCACTTGGGCTGCAGCAGCATATGCCTGTGCCTGCTGCTGCGCCATAATTTGTGCCGCCCAAGCATTGGGCGGTATCATATATGGTGGCAACGACATTTTCGCGAGCCTTTTTAATAAACAAATGTGTTCACAAAACTGAAAGTAGAAAAAATTAGCAAATGTGAATATATGAAAAACTAGTCTACGGATACACAAAACAGTGTGTAAAAACGACAGCAGCCCTTGCTAGACGTCGCCGCTTGGTATGCAAATTTCATTTCAAGCAAGTTATGTTTAAATCAATAAAAAACGTTATAGAAATAAACTCACCTAATTGCTCGGCACTTAAGTCTTATTTTTCACACTATTACAGAATTGAATACCTAATATTTTTCAACAGAACAATAAAAAATTACGGAAGAAATGTGTGAAAACGTTTTCTAATCGAATCGCGGTCAAAGAGTTGCCAACGGCACATTTACAAGCCGCTGATACAGAATGTCCGAAAAGAAGAAATGTACACAGGACTATAGTGGAATTGAAATAATATAATAAATAAGAATAGCTAAGGAATAAGAAGTATATATATTGGAAAATGGACGTAAATAAAATATCTTTTTATAAATTAAATGAGATATTAGATTTGTGACATATGTTTTATTTGGTTTCATAGGTTTATATGAATGTTAAATATGTATAGGTATACTTATAATCTATACTTTGTATGAGTATTTAATAAAAATAATAGTTATATTTGTTTTTGTTTGTTTAATGTTATTAAGTTTGATATGGAAATTATTAAAATTGATTGAGATTTTATCTTCCATGGTATGTTTCGAAAATTCCAAGCTACTTTGTTTTGCTTATTTCACACTTAAACCAGCAAATAGCAACGTTGCTATTAATACTAGTTATTTTCCTCGTATTTTGCCAATTTACACGTAGTGTTTTTATGATATGTGGAGTGTAAAAGCTAAGAAAATCTGCTAAAATATTATTAAATTGTTAGTGAAATTAGTTCCTTTTACAATTAGTGTACACAAGTAAAAAAAGATGTTTGCAAATTTGAAAAACAAATTAATAGAAGAGGTGAAGGCGTCTCCGTCGAAATTCCAACAATTTGCGGTAATTGAAAACAAGATTAGAAAAGGAAAACATAAGACGATAAATAATTACTTTCAATTCCTACTGAATTAATACCTTAAGTAATAAATTTGTGCAAGATATTTTCAAATTGAAATAATTTAGGAGTGGTGTCTGCAATTTTTTATTTTTTCTTGAGTTTACATTTAGTTTTTAATAACATACTTATTTGATGTATCATTGTTATTTTGACTATGATGTCTAAAAATGGAAATAGGCTGCTGTCTCGTCGTCGGCCAGTACAACCCCAAGTGGTTCGGAATCAACTACGACAACGACAACTAACGAAAATTTCTTTAGCATTACAGAAGAAGGTGAGTATCAAAAATGGATTCAGTTTGGAATATAATTTTATAGTTATTGTACATACTTAGATACACCACAAAATTCGCCATATAAACCTCTGAAACTACCACCTGGTTCCGTAAGCGGGCGAACATATCATAACGGACCTACCGGCGGTGCTATACCCCGTACACGAAAACTCTCTAACTCATCAATGGCCAGCGATGTCTCTTTCCGTTTGCCCACCTATGATTCACCACCTGTAATAATAATTTTTTTTTTTGGAAAAAAAGCATTAAGAACTATCATGTTTGTATTATTTTAGGTGTACCATCTACAATCAGATTTGGAGTCTAATTGCAGTGAGCTAGAAGATACAGCTTCTACCGCAAAACTGGACGTGGTAACTAAGGAACAACTATACGATGCTTATAAAAAATCATTGGATCGTTACCACAAATATCGAAGCCGATATACAGATTTGGCTAAAAGATATAAAGATTTGGAACGTGACAGTACCAAAGCTCGGGTATGTATATCTGTAATCGACGTATGTCTTCCTATAAAAGTATGCATTTGATACATTTAATATTATTTGATATGTAATTCATTATCAGATATGTAATTTCAAGATAAGATATAATACCTATCGTATTTTAGTTTACTAACCAATTATTTTTTTGTAGGAATGTTCTTTGGAATTTATTTTAAATAAAAAGTTATTTTAATTGAAATCTGTTCATAAAATTTATGTGACAGTATAGTCAATAAGTAAGAAAGCAATAAAAATTAGATAATTTCTTAATAAGTATTTCTTTTTTTTGATAGTCCGTGCTTGTGGAGACCCAGGAGAAGGCTATACGTCGCATCAGTGAATTACGTGAGCAATGTTCGTTAGAGCAGCAAGCAAAGGCGCATCTCGAAGAGGCTTTGCGCATGGAAATGGATGATATGCAATGTAAAATGCAAGCATATCAAACTAAATTAAAATTACTTGGCGAAAATCCGGACAATTTGTCTGCAATTCTATTAACATGTGAGTCCAATAATACAACTGGCGGAGCGTCACTTATAGATTTGGATGATAACAATAGTAATACCAACATAGAAGATTCAGAAGATTTGAGTGAAAAGAAAATAGTAGATAATCTGGAATGTTTGAAAAATGGACAAGATTTTCCACAAATGGAACAACTGAAGAAAGAGTTGGATGATCGGCAACGCAAAATCGAAGAGCTGATGACTAAAATGTCGAGTGCTGAAGATACAATATCACAATTACGTAAGCAAGAAGAAGAAAACGCGTTGTTATTGGCTCAAACAAAGCAGGCTATTCACTCCGAGTTAGAAAACAAGGAAAGTGAAGTAAAGAAGCTATCAAATAAAATCAGCGAAATGCAAAAGGACCAGCAAGATGCTGCAAAAAAAGAAAAACAATTAAGCGCTCAGTCGAATGAACTCAATGAATTGCATGAGAAGTTAAAGAATCTGCATATTGCCAAACAAGAAAGTGATGCTAAACTAATTGCTTCGGAACACATGCTGGGACAAATGAAAGAACAGCTACTTGTAAAGGATAATGCAATAAAAGCTTTTGAACAGAAATTGTCGAAAGGGCTCAAGGACAGCGAACAGAAATTGGATGAGTTGCGACAGCAAAATGCACAATTGAACGAAATGCTACAGCGATATCAACAAAACGAGGTGTCCCTTGCCGAGATCGATAACGAATTGAACAGAACGAAAAACGAAAATGACAACCTTAAAATAACAATTGGCGAGAATGAACGAAAACTACACGAACTCGAAGAAGAAGTACGTAGCCAAAAGGAGCAAATAGAACGTCATCAAAAAGAGCGTACAGCCGAAGAGAATCGTTGGAAGCTTATGTCTGCTCGAGAGGATGAATTAACTAAGCTGTGGCAAGAAGTGCAAGCGGATAATGAAGTACAAAGACAAATAGTAAAACGTTTAGAGTCGGAATTAAAAATATCAAATGAGCGAAATCAGCATAATGAGAGCGAAACGATTGTTGCACTCAAAGCAGAATTACACAAGGCCAATGAAGAGCTAGGCGAGAAAGCAAACACTTTAAAAGATCAGTTAGCTGTTAAGGAAAAAGAGCTAAAGTCGAGTCTAAATAAACTAGCAAAACAGAAGAAACAATTTGACAACCAACAAAGTCGAATACGCGATCAAAGCGGTGAAATTGAAATGCTACGAACTGAATTGAATCAACATGAACAACATTTAAGTAATCTCCAGAATGAATCGCAAGCACGTGAACAGGAGTCCGAAGCGGAGAAAGCTAAATTAAAGGCCCAAGTTCAATCTATATTACAAGATATAGCGCAAATTCAAGATGAAATGCGAGTTGTGAAGGAATCTCACGATGAGTTGGAAGTGGAGAAGCTGAAACTCGAACAAAGGATTGAAAATATGCAACGGGAAGCACAGGATGCTAGTGACGGCACTCAACATTGGCGAGATCAATTGGTTGATACTGAAGACAAACTACGCCTTATAGAGTCAAAGTTGCAGAAAGTCGAGACTGAAAATTCACAAGTAGCCGAAAGGAATTGCTTGCTAGAAGAGCAGAACAATCGTTTTGAAAAACAATTGGTCGAGCGCGAACGCCAAAAGGACACCGAAGAGGCAAATGCAAATGAGCTGCGTTTGAAGTTGGATGGCAATGAGACGACTTTGCGTAAATTAAATGAAAAAATGTCAGAAATACTGGATGAAAATTCTCGTCTGCACAATACACAAGAGTTAATGGATCACGACTATCGGACTTTGCAAGATAAATTTAATGCGTTGGAGAAAGAAAAGTTAATGGCAGAGGATGTACAAATAGGTTTACAAGAAGAACTGGAACAACTGCGAGAACACAAGTTGGTATTGGAAAATAAGTTGCGCGAAGCCGTTGAGCAGCTTCAGCAAACCGAGGAGAAATGTGCGGAACAAAAGAAGAATACTGAAGCAATAGAAAAAGAACTGAAGGAGATGGTAATAGCTCGAGAACGCTTGGAAAATCAGAATCAAGTAATGAGTGCAGAACTAAATGAACTTCGGGCTGTACAGTCGGATGATGAAAAATTGCACAATTTGATGTGCGAACAAAAACGACGTATCGAAGATTTAGAACACGAATTGATTGATAGAGAAAAATCCGCAAAAGCGAATATTGAAATTGTAGATAAAGAGAATAAAAATTTGAATGAAAAATTGGGTACATTGGAAGCAAGTAGAGAAGAGTTAGAAGTCACAAAGAAAGAAAGCCTTCTTTTAAAAAAGCAAAATGAAGAGCTAAATCGAGATTTGTGTATTTTGAACACAGAACTGAAACAAAGCCGGGACAGTAGCCAAGAACTTGAGACACAATTGACGCAGTTGAAGGCATTGGAGCAGGAAATCACAGAAAAAGAACACAAAGCATTAATTGATGAAATTAATAAATTGAAAGAGGAATCAAAAACGCATATTGAAGAAGCGCGAAATAGGGCGTTAGAATTGGAAGCATTAAGACAGAAGTTGCAGAATTCAAGCGAAATAAATGAAAAACTTGAAAATACCGAGCTAGAGCTTCAGAAAATGCTAGAATTAGAAACGAAGTTACGCGTCGATGCTGCTAATGACGCCGAATTGGCCAGTAAAAAAATCCACGAGCTTGAAGAAAATTTGTACACTGCCAAGAGCGATATTGAACGATTGCACGAAAGCAATGACGCTATTCAAGTGGAGATGGATAAGTTACAAAACAAAAATGAGCTACAGGTGCAGAGTTTAGAAGTAACAATGCAACAATTGAAAGAACACAATGAAAAACTTCAGCAACAGTTTGCGAGTCAAAAGGTTGACGGCGAAAAACTAGCTAATTTCGAACAATTGCAAATTGAAAACGAGTATCTAAGCAAACATGTGAAGCAATTGGAAACCGAACTGACGGCACAACGCACAGAAGCGTCCAGTCAGTTGCAAGAAGGGCAAGACCTGCAGGAGAAACTAAAATCACTGCAATGCGAACTTTATGTGCTGCGCGAAAATACTGAAAAACACGATGCACAACTTGAGGAGAAACAAAAAGCAATTGATAGTGCTGAGAATGAAAGTAAACAATTGCGCGAAATGCTGACGAATGAACATGCCGAGTTGGAACGTCAAATAGTGCACGCCAAGTATATTACTGAGCAAAATGATGCTATACAAAGTGATTTATTACATAAGCAACATCAATTAACCGAAGTTGAACAACAATTGCATGATGTTAAAGCTGAACTCGAAGCGGTGAACTCCAAACACGCCGCAGACATTGTCATTAAAACAAAAGAAATCGATTCCTTGCGTGCGGAATTACAACAAATCACAGTTGAACTCAATGCAAAGGCGCAGCTTCAGGAGGAATTGGACGCTTTGCGTGTTGAACTGACGGAACATAACCAAGTAAAAGAACTCTCACTGTCGCAGGCAACTGTCGAAAATGGACAAAAAACAGTTTTAGCTAGTGATGCCGAGAATTTGCGACGCATTAATGAAGCCTTACAGCGTGAATTGGAAGATCTAAAGCATAAATCAACGTCGGAAATCACCGAGCTGCAACAAGAGATTGAAGATATGCAAAGTAATGCGAGACATATGACTGAAAAATTGGCAGAAGTTGAAAAATTACATAGCGCCTTGACGACACAACAAGTGTTGGCGAACGCGAATGCTGACCAAGAATCTCTGCAGGCTACTCGTGAAATTGCCAGAGGTGGGGAAATATCTAGCTTGAAAGCGGAGGAGCTATTGCAGCGAGAAAAGGCCGAGTTGTCGGCGAAATTACGCGAGATTATGAATGAAGTGCGTGATGTGTCTGAACGTAACCTTTTCCTTGAGCAGCAATGCGAAAACTATTTGATATTGGAACAATCAAACGAACGTTTGAAGCTGCAAAATGCCAAACTGTCACGTCAGTTAGACGAAACATTGGTATGCATGCTTTAAAATTTTTTTTATTTTGTAAATTTATTGTTTTTAATTTTTTTATTGTATCGTTATAGGTGTCAATGCAACACAATGAAGGCATTACAGCGAATACGGAATTCGAGTACTTAAAGAATATTATGTTTCAGGTAAGAGAGTAATCGAGCATATCTGATATCGGACTACTATAGCATATAGTTGACATACGAACTGAACGATCAAAATCAAGGTCTTGCATGGAAAACTTTTTTATTTAACAAGATATATTCACGAAATTCGGCATTATGATTAAAATCAAGTGCTTGTATGGAAAATGTTTTTAATTAACGAAATATCTTCACGAAATTTGGCAATCTCCGATTAAATTTTCAGATCAAACCATTATAACATATATGTAGTTGCCATACAAATTGACCGATAAAAACTTTGTTCTTGTATGGAAAATTTTTATTTGTGAAGGGTATTATAGCTTCGGCGCAATCGAAGTTAACGTTTTTTCCTGTTTAATCAGAAATTTAACTTGTACCTATAGTTATAATAATTCTTGATTGCCGACTGTCATTGAAGAACATTTGATTTTTATATAATGTTTTTTTTAGTAACAATTTAAACTGAAGTAATGAGACGAAACTATAGTAAACATAATTTAATTCTTATTAATTTAAGTATTTAACGGGATCTGCCAATGGCAACAACGAAACGCTTGTCAAAGTGATATCGGCTGTTCTGAAATTCTCACCTCAACAAACTCAAGTTGCTCTTGAAAAGGAGCACCAGCGACGTTCATTGGTGAGTGCAATGCTAATTTTAAATTTGTTAAAAACAATGTACGTATCTTTTTATGGAATTTCAGATAAACAAAATTCTATAGCAAGAATTGGAGCAAGCCTACGCAGCTACATGGTGGTAGCATTAACATTGGTTTGCCACTCGAAAATATATTAAACTATTAATATTTCTAAAACTACCAAATGTTCACAAAACACTTGATTGGTAGCAAGCATATGTACTGCGTACACAGATCCTTAAGGAGTGCTGCTTTAGCTTCTTACCCGTATTAGGCATTTGGTATAAATTGGGATTGCTAATTTAAAGTTAATGATTTATTTTCGATTTTAGCTACCGATAACGCATTTTAAGTGTATAAAAAAATATTCTTAACAGAATAATTCAAATAAGTACCTATGTATATCGGCAGTTCGTAATATGTTATGACATACGGGCGTAATGCGATTTAAATATGTGTAAATTGTAATAAAAAAGTATAAAAAAATAAACTGTACGCCAATTAAAAGACGTTTGTATAGACATAGTTATGGATTTGCTAAGAATTTACATTCATGTATATATACATATACGTATATATACAAAATGTTCATGTATTACTGTTATTTGGTTCGATTTCATTTGCGTTTGTATTTAAAAGGCATTAAGCTGTTATTAATTGTGCAATCTTGTAATGGAATTGTATGTGATTTTTTAGTCACATCCAACGTAAATATTTAAAATATTAAATAAGTCAAAATATATTAACTATTGTTGTAATGTAAGTTTTTCAAATAACCTATGTTTTTAGTTTGAAGTAAAATATATATATACATACTAAAACTAAAACAAACAAAAATTTCGAAAAATATAAAAAACTACGGCTTATTATTTTCAATCCACCTATTTAAAATATTAAATCTACTTAAAGAAGCAAAATGACATTATGATATCTCATCATTCCCAAAAATTAGTACTTGTTTTCTTGTCGGTTGCAAACTGCCAAATCTGTATGGAGGAATGCGACTTTCTTCGCAACCATTCAGCTTATGCCAGACAGAGGTTGAAACATCTCGGCGGACACACCGTCGACGCATCTGGCGAAGTGGCTGCTTCTTCGTTCTATAAATAGTTTTGGGAATCAATAAGGATTAGCTGTCCAAGTGGGATCCTTGTTGTTGTTGTTGTAGCGGCAGAATTTTGTCGAGTTGACAGTCCTTGCCGGAAAAAATCCGGGTCCGTTCCGGTTACGTAGACCCGACTGTTATGGGAACGGTGGGATCCTTGTTGTTGTTGTTGTCGTAATCCTTCGTTACCTTTGGTGCGAGGCACTTGTCAACTTTGGACAAATATAGTTAAATATTTGAAAAGAAAAGTAATGTGGGAAAATATTTGTATTTAAATTTCACTTTTATAAAATTTATTTATATAACTTTTCATGGAAAAATATACATTTCGTTCTTGAACTTAACTCATCTAACTTACGCACAGTAGACAAATAAAATAAATATTTATTTAGACGCAATCTAGAAATCACGATCATTGTAATTTATGTGATATAACGAATTCAAAATATAAATAATTAAAAGATATAATCGCTTCAAAAGTTAGCTAAAGCTTTGCTTTAATTAGAAATTGTTTGTTGCATTAAGCCATTCCAGTATTTTAACGGCTTTCTATGTATAAAAGTTTTGAGCGCATTAGTTGTGAGCATTTGCAGTGGATAATGAGGTTTGAAGTCTGCGAGTGCATGAAAACAGCGTTTTTGACCAAATCGTTGAAAGCGCAATATGGCTAATATAGCCGCTTCTTGCACGACCGGACGCTGTACAGCGCACAGGAAGCGTTCGAATATCGAAAAGTAAGTGGAGATATCTGTAGTGAGAGGCAGCGGCTTCACCACGACCGATATACAGTCGAGTAAAGCAGCAATACGTTCATCATATTCGTTCGTATGCTGCACACGCTTATAGTATTCTTCGGCTAGTGGCAATAATTGTTGCTGTAGTAAAATGTTTACAAGTTTAGAATTTCGTTTGCAACAGATGGCAAAGGCATACATGAGATTTGTTAGCTTGCCGGTTTTAAGTTTTGTCACTAGATTCGTTAAAACTTCGAGTGCTTTTGGTTTGAAGGGTTCAAAGTGATATTCGAATCTTAACATTGATAGAAGTTCTTTATGACGTAAATCCTTAGTATCCATATCGTATGTTGTAGCCATTAACAAATGTTGAATAACGGTGATAAGTGCATCTGATTTATCATAATTAGATTCCTCGCGATGTGGCAGCGTGGTAGGATACCAGCAAAGTACTTCGTAGATCATTGGTGATGCCAACTTGTTGTGATAATATAAACATTTGGCAATGAAGAGGCGCGCCGGATTGTGTGCAGCATTATGGAGTGGTATGACAACCAAGTACAATTGTGTAAGATTCAAAAGAATGTTTATTGATAACCTTTCATTCCGCTGGTAATTAAACAGTCTATTTTCAATTTTTTGCAGCAACGCAGCGATGATCTCTGGGCATTTTTGCTGTAAGTACCGCAACACGATCGATATAAGTCGCAAGTGTGTACCGATGTATTTGGGTGGAACGCGTGCTAACTCACAATTCAACTCGATTTCGGGGCGTGGTGATTTGCAAATTTGATCAATTATCAGACTGGCTAATATTTCACAATCCGCCATTTGTTCCAGTAGAGATGCGGCAAGTGTAGCAGCTGTCACATCCACTTGGTCGCGGGTTGTGTCCAGAAAGTTTGCAATTTGAATTGCGATTTTAGATTCTACTGCATTTTCTTTCCTTTTTCCCGTTATGGTTGCAAAAAGTTCAAAAGAATATTTGCTGATAAAGTTTTGCAGCACACTACTCTTTTGGCTGGAAGGATAATGGCTTCTGTTCATTTCCAATGGAATTATTGGAGTTAGTTGCATGTCAGCTAATGAGTTTTCACTGACTGTCTCTGGTGGAGGTGAGTTTGGTGATTCTAAATCTAAATGATTAATCGTTGAATTAAGCTCAGGATTTTGCAAACTAATTTCTAAACTCAGTTCTGGGCTGGATGGCAAGGTGTACTCAATTGTGCTAACCCGTTTAACGATTTGCTGTGTTAAGGCAAAAGGTTTGTTAACTATTGCATTTGAAGTATCGGCAGCAGGATTTATATTTTCAAATGTGTCGTTCGTACTAACTTGCACTTCACTAATAATTTGGGCTTCACAATTTCCGCCTTTATTTGACCTTTGCTTCATTTCGTTATATATTGTAAACTGATCGTTAGTATGTTCGTTAGTTGATGATTGGAACGTTTTGTCTTTGGCTTGATATAAACTGGTTAAGTTGGACAAATTTGATTCGTTATCCTTACAGGAATAATTATTAATTCTTTGGGTTGACAAGTTTTCCTGATCATTTGAGTCCTTTGTTGGCGATGACAAACCCTCATCGCTGCTTAACGGATTATCACGCTTTTGTTTATCTCGCAAACGTGCTGAGCGCTTACAGAATGTAACGGCGGTCATTGAACTTTTTCGTTTACGACCACGCTTACAAGGCACTTTCTGCCCATTTGCCGATTCACTTAATATGCTTGTGACTAGTTGTGTTGTTGGAGCATTCGCCAATAAGTTGTCCACAACTGATCCTTCTGGTAGTACAGAGATATCGGAACCACTGCTACTTGTAGGAGAAGCACTTTTTGAGCATGTTTGAGTTATTCTATCATCGGATGCCGCATCGTAGTCTATACTTGAATCGGAGTGGGTTCTATTTTTACTGATATTTTGTGGACTTCCTTCCACTATAACAAGTATGGGTTCGTCCACTTCTTCATTTTCGCTATGTGAATTGTATAAAGGATGAATAGATGCTGTTGTTGTTGATGTTAATGAAATAGCCTCATTTTGTTGGGAGTCGGCTGCTTTCATTGAAAATTGATGGTTATAAGTGTCTGCAATATCATGATTCTCGGTTCTTTTGGTTAACTCATTGGTATTAGGCGAGAGAATATTTAGAAGCTCAAATTTATGTACTTCTTCATGATGTATGGAAATATCTGCAGCAATGTTTAGTTGTTGGAATGGATCTGTAAACTTCATACTACTGAATTCAGCATCCTTTTCCTTCAATTCTTCTTGGTTATGGGTACTTTCTGAAATGTCCGGTATTATCTCAATGTTTTGGGTTTCCTCTAACCTATTATCTATTAAACGCTCTTTACAGTGTATGCTTTCAACAGGTTTTTTCAAAACAGCAGAAATTTCAGTATTAACATCGTTTGTAATAAATATATTATTATCGAATTGTGTGGTGCTACTTGTATGTTGTTGTTTTTGTTGTAGCGAGTTATTTGTATTTACAATGTCAATGTCGCTATCATCTGAATCACTTCCAAATATTTTATATGCAAAATGCAATTTTTGTTTGGTTTGTTCTTCACATACTTTCGGTTGATTTTCAATTAAACATCTGGCTTCAATTATTTCGAAATTATCACATTTGCTTTTTTCACTGTCGGACAGTTCAGGTACTTTTATGTGTTCAGACAAGACAATATTGGCACTGCTTTTATCTTGTAACAAACTTAATGGGTTTTCATTAACACATAACGAGTTTCCAGCACTAATATCTAAATCGTTAATAGTATTATTCAGTTTTTCATCTCCAGTATGCTTTATATTTACAGATTCAATACTATAATCATCTTCTAAGTGTGCCGAGTAGATACTATCCATTATAGCACCATTTTGATCGTTTTCTATATGGTGATCTTGATTGAAACTGTACAGATTGGCGCAAAATTCGACAGCAGTCACAAAGTGTTTTTCATTTCGGTCTACTGTAACTGTTCCATCATCAGATTTAGAATCGGTTTCGTTATTTATAATAGATGTCGCGACTAGTTTTGCCTTTTTTGTTTTATTCCGATGCTTTCGTTTTCTGTTCTCCTTCCGTTTCCTGGTATATATTGGTTCTTCTGTGCCAATTTTCTGACCACGCACTTGTTTGACGGATCGTTTGGGTATTTCAAGTGGTTCCTTAAATATTAACTTTTCCAAATCATCACATCCAGTTTGTGTAGTCCCATCTGTACTAATATTATTATTGCTAAGATAACTCATTACATTTATGTTGCCACCATAGCCGATTTCTCTCGGTGTACCTGAAATATACAGATTTAAGAATATTTTTTGCATAAAAAAAGTTTTATTACCTTCAATTTGTGTTGAAACATCGCTGGATTGTGTTACGTTCATATTAATTACTCTACTGAAATCGAAGGTGTTTTCCCTTCTGTTTATTTGTTGCTCACATTGTGTTGGTAACGGTGATGCCGTTTGTTGCTGTGAAATTTGCCTAGATTCGTATAATGTATGTATCCAATTATGAAACTGTTGCAAGTTATGTGAATCACCAGACCTATTAAACTGTTGGGCTCGCAAGTGGTTACTGGTAGGCGGGTATAAAAGTCCCATAAACATTTGACCAGCCATTTGCCAAACTGTAGAAAATACTTCTGGATGCATTTCGGGAAGGTTCGTTAATGAGCTTATCATTGGATCCAAGTTACTAATATTGCTTATATTACTGTTTGTCGGTAAACCTGCTGTTTCAGCGTTTTCGTTAAGCTGTGTTGTCGATAGAGATGCTGATGGTGGTGGCGTAGATGTTGGAGTGGCATTGACTTCATATTTTAAATTATCATATATAAACGGTGAAGGTGAACTGGATTGTGAGCGTTTAATTGGTTTCATAATTGGAATATAATCTATTTGGCGATGCACATTACATAAATAAGTGCAAGTGCCTGTAGACTTAGATGTATCAGGCAATGGAGGAGGATCTGATAACTTAAATTCATTAAATGGTGTTTCCGAAATTGGATCGGATATTGGACTAAGCGGTGAAACGTTCCATACTTCAAAGAATTTATCAACCAATGTTGCTTCTAATGGAATTAACTTTGGTTCTGGAAAAATTGTACCGACATTATGTTTTTTGATAAAGCATGAAGTTGATGTACCCCGTGTTGTTGTAGTAGATATATGTTGTGTTCCCTGAGAATGAAATTCAATTAAACGTGTTTGTACCGCTTGATTCTGCGTACTATTGGTGAGGGTTTTCTCTGTTTGCTTTGTTTGTGTTTGGATATCTCTCACTAATGGCGCTACCGTTTGTGTGTGCATCTGGTTGCTTTGCATTACTGAAGTCTGTGTGGATGCTGCATGGACTTGCCTTGAAACAAATTTATCTGAAGCGTCCAGCAGATTACACTGAATATCTTTATCTTTTCTAAGTTTACGTTTATTTTTAGCTTTTACTTTTATAATAGGTACTTTCATACCTCTTTGTTCACAGTAATTACTTAAAGCATCTAAAAGTGGCTTGTCATACGATTTCATTGTTTCATCTTCATTCAGTTTTTGCATTAATTTCAGATATTTGATTGCTAATTCCGTATAGCTTAAGGGACCTATTGTGTTATCTAATTGAGCTTCTAATTGTTCCAGCTGCATTTTTTTCTCGGCCACTTCATTATCCAACCGTGCGCAATGTTCGTGCAGATCATTTGATTTGAGCTCCACATTTTGGAATTGCATTTGCAAATCCAAACATTTCTTTTTTTCATTTTCATATAGTTTGTGAATTTGATTGGCGGATTTCTGAAAATCTCTAAGCTTCTGCTGGATATCTGAATTTTCCCTTTTCAACAATTCAATTTTATTAACCAGTTCATCACTTTGTGCAACTCTTTGCGCCAGATCCTTTGCTTTATACGAATTGGCGCGAAAAGAATGCGTATAGGTTGTAGCCGTGACAGCTTTCTGAATTTCTTTTTTTCTTGGTGGGGAAAGCTCCAAAAATTCCAAGTTTAAATCATCGTAATTGAATGTATGCTCCTCGTCGGTCATGGCTATGAGTATGCTGTGGGCACCGCAATGGAGAATGCAAGATATTGAAAGAGCACAATTGTAACTACATTACACGAACTATGAGTGTTGTCATTCACGACTAATATGCTAAAATATTCACATAATTAATAATGATTCCTTATCTAAAAGCAAAATAACGTTAAATTACCAATTAGCACGCGTATTGAAAAACAACGAAGAAAAACGTTTGACCACAATGTTTATAAATGTCAAAACTTGCCGGTTAGAAGAAGCATTAACAAATACTATTGCGAACGGGGATGACAAGGAAGAGTTGCCAACATAAAGATAGTAAACGCAGCGGCGAAAAATTAAATGTACGTAAAACAGCATGTAATTTTGATAAATATATATCATGTACAATTATTTTAAATCTGATTTACAGATATACAATTTATCACTGTTTTGTTAAAATTTGTTATCCTAAAACTACAAATTTTTACGTCTATCTTTTAGTTCACAGAGCTAATTGTGAATTCCAGGATATTATGTCATAGTGAACGGAATGTTTCCGGTTGTCTGTTCGGTATTTTTAATCGTTCGTTGAAGAAAAAGTGTTTTTATCTAAAAAAGCGACTGCTAAACATTTAATGCATGTGTGTAAAATATAAAATGATAGTTTTCAATATGAAAGTGGTGTTCAATAAATTGTGAGCATATAGTGTGAAAAAACAAATGGTTTTGTATGAAACAAACAAAGCGTTATGGCAGTACCTTATTGCAGCAAAATGGCGTTTGAGCGTAAGATGTAACATCATATTTTCATTTTTTTTTGAGTGCAAAGACTTGTATACTAGAAATTATGTTTATGAACAACAAAAATTAAATTATAATTTAATTTTTTTCAACAGTTCCGGCTGGTTAGTTACTGAATTTAGAGAATATGGCTGGTTGTCTTTGCCAACTTTGGCAACGAGCTATTTTCGAAACTTCCAGAGAGCCTCTGTGCTTTCCTTATCGGAGCATATTTATTTATTATTGTATAATTTTATTGCATGCATAGTCATGGATTTGATTTTAAAATCAAACTAATTGTTAGTAAAAGATGAATCTATAACATGGAATATTTAGTTGCTACTTATCTTATCAAACCCAAATACAAATATGTAATTGCTATAATTTTTGAATTTGTTATAGCTTTTTAGAAGCTTTCTATTCATCTTTTGTATTTGTGAAAGGTATTATAGATTCGGTGCAACCGAAGTTAACGTTTTTTCTTGTATTTTTTACTTCTATTAATGTTAATTCTTAAAGAAATCTATATTGAATGCTGCCCAAGCGGCTGGTTTGTGTCTTCTTATATACCACTATAAAGCAAATTCACAGCGCACGCTATCACCATCATATCATATGTCTACTTAAGTTCACATTGTACACTTTCACCAGCATATCATATGATCATTCATCATATCACAAAATTATCATTAGATCACCTCTGCATGACACTAGCCCTGCCTAGGCGCCTGGTTTATGTTTTCTTATGCAGACAAATTTGACATCGTACACTAATATCATATCATATGATCATACATCTAATCACAACATAATCATAACATCATCATTTTGACGGCACCAAGCCGCTGGTTTGTGTCTTCTTATATAGAGGAAGTTTACAGCACACACTATCACCATCATATCAAATGATCATACATCACATCACAACAGAATCAGAATCAAAACGTCACCTCTTGACGGTACTAAACCTGTCCAGGCTGGTTGGTGTCTTCTTATATACAACTAGTTCACCGCGCCTACTATGACTACCCTATCCTATGGTCATAAATCACATCACTTCCTTCTTATATACATATTTATCTACCTATGTATTAGAGATCAGATCATATGATACAAAACTCACCTCTGAAGTCTGTCTGTATTATACAGCCAATTATTACCGTTAATGATCACACTGGCAAACAAAGCGCTCTTAATACTCACATATCATTCATAAGGTTCCAGCTCAATGCAGATGTTGAATGCAGATTAAACTCAATTCTTCTGATTCTCGGAATGATAATTCGCGTGGAATGACATTGTGGTACATATTAATTACTGTGAATTGTGAACACACCACGTAGATCAACAACCTCACAAGTAGTTGGTGCAATAGTTGACACTTTGACTTCAACCGTGGTTGGTCACGCCATATGTATGAATGTATGTGTGATGGGTCTGACCCTTAATAGTCAACTCTATTCAAGTCTAATTTGTCATGAAAAAGTGAAATATTTTTGCTGCACTAGGGCATTGAATTCCAAAGTGATGATGATGGGTCTCCACAAGAATTTGCAATGCTCACAATGGCAACGCAATCAATCTGTGTGCAGCAATTGCAGTACAATTGAAATGAGCAAGAGCACAGTGACACAGGCAGGCGAAGTCACAGTCGCAGTCACAGTTTTAGTGGTAAACACATTCGGTGTTACAGCGATAAATGCAGTAGCATGCCATCGCTCACATATATTTATGTGTGTGTGCGTATAGCGGAGCCACAACTATGTGGAGTGCAACAACAATCTATCAATATAACCGCAAATGTCATCAACAGCCTGCCCCGAACAATATATGTATGAATGTGTATGCAGTTAAGTGTGGAAGAAAAGTGCCGCAACAATCTGGTGAATCGAAGTGCAGTGAGCTGTGTAGAGAGGTTAGGCGGTTTACAAACATCCATACATATATACATATAAAGGTACTAGATTCATGCTCACACTAGCTGTGTGCGACTGACACTTGCTCTTATCAGTAATGCAATTTATGTTTCTGCTGCTGATGTAAAGTAGAAAAAAGGTGCATTCGTTGCGCATTTGATTGTGCTGCCGCATATTGGTGTAATGTCAGCACAATCACGTATCTGCCACAATCATAGAGACACACTCTAATTGCATTACGATTGGCCATGACAATAGCACCAAGTGCTGCTAGACAGTGGTGACTGAGCGGAATGAAGAGCGGAAATAAAATGAAAAGTCAAGTACAAAGTGCAAGCAAATAAAAATGTGTGAACTCTCTGGCTGTGATCTATAGATAGTGACTTTGCGAATAGTTTGCAGACTCCTATTGTAAAAGTGATCATGATTACAGCAACATTATCCAGTAGAGTTTTGCAGGAGTAGATCTGCATTCCACATACTTCGAGGATATAATTTCCCTCAAAACAAGAAGAAATGTTAACTTCGGCTGCACAGAAGTTATTATAGCTGTAGCTATATGCTTTAGTGGTCCGATCTGAACAATATATTCGAAGATTATAGCATTGAACTGGGCAATAATCTACGCTAAATATCATGACAATATCTTGCCAAATAAAAAGCTTTATATACAAGGATTTGATCTTGACCAATCTTCATCAGGGCCTCGTTATATACAGATAGACAGACATGGCTAAATCAACTAAGCTACTTTATAAGGTCTCCAGGTCCTCCAATGTCCAAGGACATTTCAGAGTATAAATATATATAGAGGGTTTACCGAACATCTCTCCAATTTATAATATTTATCAATTTGTTTGCATAAAGTTGTTGTCTGCGCAAGCGATAACTTGAGTAAAAATTGAAATAACTTAATGAAATTTAGTACACATGTTCCTAGGCAAAAAAGTTAGAACAAGTTAGTAGATCGGACCTATAAATTGACATAACTAAGACGCAAATTAAGATACAAAACCGTAATTTGGTACAACGAATCGCAATAATGATGGACACAAGTGGTTTGAAAATTTTCTAAAGGGGCCGTGGTCTCTCTTCCTAATAGGTTTAATGTATATATCTCTCAAACTATTCAACCTATATGACTCAAATTTGCACAGAACATATCATTTCGATACTTCTTGCGGCAGTATGAAAATAGATGAAATCGGATAATAACCACGCCCACTCCCCACATAACGGGTTTGTTAAAAACTACTAAAACTGCAATAAATCAATAACGAAATGCGTCTGAGATATTAAATTTTACATCTGAGATGATACAAAAGGGCTTTTTAGGAGCAGGCGTCAAAATTGTACACGCTCCGCCCACATTTAGGGGAAATCACATATCTGTGAAAATACTCAACCAAGTTCAACCAAATTTGGTTCATAAGATGATTTTGACATTCCCATGTAACAGTGCGAAAATGGGTGAAATCAGACAGTAACCAAGCCTACTTCCTATATAATACAACTTTAAATTGCATCTGATTTTTTTACTTTCCAGTATAATCGGGATAAAAATTTGCACGAAATTTTTTTTAAGGTCTCTGGTCTAAAAATTGTCAAAATCGGACCATAACTATTCAAGCCCCCAGATACCAAAAATGTGTACCCAGAACCTATGGCTGACTTTTTGCCGAAAATAACGGTTAATCTGTGAGATATATAATTGAAATTCGGGAAAAATGTTTTTTTGATAATAATATACCCTTGTGACAAAAATGGAATGTTGAATCGTATCAGTACTTCCCTTAGCACTCATATACCTAATATAAAGATGTTCGAACTTACAGTTCACGATTTTAAAACGTCCGACTGACTTTACCCCATATATACATATGTTTATATTATATTTATATATTTATGAAATTGTTAGAAAACAAGTTCTCAAGGAAACCTAAGCAATGTCAAAAATTAATGCAATCAGTATTTCTAAGATTTTATGTATAATTTTCGCCGACGAGAAGTAAAATATTGTAATAAAACCAAGTGAGTCTATGAGCATACAAATAAATTAATATGATACCAAATTTGATTGTAATCCATTCACCATTTCGTCGAACAATGAAGTTGATCCTTTTCGCTACATTTCTTAAAGAGTTTTGTCAACATCCCCCCGGCTCTGATCCTTGCTAGTTGCAAGAGTATGAAATGTTCGGTTACAACCGAATTTACCCTTTCCTTACTTGTTTTATTCATCATTCGTTTATATGTCATTCAGTTTTACACCGAAAAGTCCAAAAAAGTTTATGTTCAGATCGATTCATTCTTAATTCATGCATTCATTGAATTCAGTCAAAATTTTGGAGCAGTTACTGTTCAGGGTCACTGTACTCCCTACCTTTCACATTATCAACGATACAACCTTCAGTTGTGGCTGCACACGGCGGTTGCGCTAATGTTCAACTGACGTTTGCTCTGACGTTGTGCTGCGTTATTGCGACACTGTCATTGCCATCGTCAACATTGGTGGGAGTCACATACACGAGTCTACATATAAGCAAATATGCTAACTAGCGAATATAACACCGAGCGCAGTGACAACTGAAA